GGAGCTAATCGGTGCTGTGGAAAGCGCGTTCTATTCGTTGCCATCGGACACTCTCGCCAAGACGTTTATAACTCTACAAAAGGTCATGGAAAAGTCGTTGGAGATGCTGGGCAGTAACAACTATAAGCTCCCTCATTTGCGCAAAGATGCCTCCATCGATGACCTACTGAGCTACAACGTCGAATGCAATGCTACCTGCGTCACCAGTGCTTTGGTTCACATGGATCTTCGCCTTGGCGAGGAAGCCCGCATGGAGGAGGAGTGTAATTCAACGGAACAAGTACCTCTGTAAAGACAATTAAAATACAAAATATTTTGGCCGTCCAATATCAACTTCTAGAGTCGAATACAAAAATCAAGACAACAGTTGTCATGACACCATAGCGAAAACAAGTTTATTTTTGGTAGACAATCAATACGGACCAGAGTAGTAACGGGGAAGATTAAGTAACTGAGACGTATCCGGACAAAATATTAAAAAATGTATATCAATACTTTTTCGTTTATCAATACTTTTTCGTTTATGAAAATGAGTGCCAGACATGAACGGACTATCCCAACCATCCACGCATCAAAACCCATGTCTGAGTACGATTGTGCTATCCGGAAAAATTGGGTAAGAACCAATCAAAAGCTCGGAATATCTTGAAACATCGCCTTATAAATATGAGAAAGCAAAACACCGAATTCACAGCTTCTCATTGGTACAAATTTCGTAGAAATTGGGTAAATGAGTCAAATTTTGAGGTGAGTCAAAGTTGAAACGTGGAGGTAATTTGGGACGGAGTAGTACTGTGTAGTAATATTATTCTTCGTAGTATTGTGATTCTACTCAATATTATGTAGTAATAATAAGGGCCTGTCTGGCAACCTGAAATATTACAATATTCTAGCCCAAAATTCCATTTCAAATTCATCAAAATTGAAACATAAGTTTTAAAGAGTTTAACCCAAATCCAATAATTCCACGTGGGATTTACTCGTTGTAGTGGTCCAAAACACCATAGTACAAAATGGACCTTTTACCTCCATTTTGAAAATGACATTTTGGTTCATCCCATTTTGCCAAAAAATAGAATAACGTTACTATTAATAACGTTAGTATTATTTTTGAAATGTTACCCTAGTTGAACCGCCCCAACAATCGCCAAACCTGCGAAATATGATATATGTAAAGTTCAAGAGTGAATATTCAATGGTTATAGCCAATCATATTTGAACCTTCATTCTTTTTATCTAATCATACTTCTTTGCCCGATTTCTTGGTGATTTCAACAATACATTTCAAAAATAATATTCCATTTTTTGGCAAATGGGATGAACCAAAATTCCATTTTCAAAATGGAGGTAAAAGGTCCATTTTGTAAGGGGCGTTTTGGACATCCCACGTGGAATTATTGGATTTGAGTTAAAACTCTTCAAGCAAGACATCTTTCAATATTATTGATAAGATTTGTCGAATTCGCCCCCAAAATGGCGTTTTCGGCCTGAATATTGCAATATTTCCTTACCAGACGCAGCCTTAAACTTGGCAAATTTGGGTGAAAAGCAAACTAATACCTTTACTCCTACTTGACCAAACTCCGCATAAGCGCGTGGGCCACGCTGGCAAATTCGACTTCGGCTTCCGTGGCCGAGTCGGCCATGGCATCCACGAGCTCCTCCAGCGTCGTCAAGAGGAGGCGACCGGTGGACGTGTCCACGTACGTGGCCGCGGTGTCCGCGGGTGCTGTCGAGAGGACGAGGTTGAAGAGGACTTTGCATAGCATGGTACTCATGGCCAGGTCCTTCAGGCCAGCGTGGCGAAAGAGTCGGACGAGCAGGTCCCGCGTGTCGACAATGTCGTGTGTGGTAGGTACGGCATGCAAGTTTCCACGTGTGCGCTGATCCAACGCTGCGTTCATGAGGACTCCGCACACGGTGTAGACGACATCTCGGTTGGCATGATCAAGAAGCATGACAAAGGTGGGGAGAAGAGCGGTCGAGTCGGGGTCGAGCATGGCTCCGAGGACATCGGGGAAACGACTGAGGTTCCCAAAGGCGCGCGCCGCCTCCACGACAGCTTCGTCGTTTGGATCGACAAGAATACTGGCGAGATCGCGCGACAACCTGTGCCGATGCACCGTGATGACGTTGGTAGGCGTAGCGTCGGTCGAGTAGAAGGACAGGTTGGTGAGGCAACTGACCACGTTCAGCATCAGTTCTTCATGCCGTGCTACCTTCGCATGGTCCAAGACATCCAGGAGGACTTCGATACCGGGCACCGTGCCCAACATGGGTCCCACAGATGTATGGATCGCGGCATTTGCAAGGAGCCTCACCAACTTCACCAAAACGTCCTCTGCAGTTGCTGCGCTGGTGTCGTTATCCGGACTCTCGTGAACATACCGGATATGGTATTCCTTCAGCATTCGTACGAGCGGCGGCACTGCTCCGAGGGTGACGATGGCTTTGCGGTTGCGATCATTCGTGGCAGTGAGGTTTCCAAGGATGAACGCAAGGCGGATGACCAGCGCCGCATCCTGCTGCCGCGAGCGGGTGTCCCCATCAAGAAGTTTCAGGAGGTGGCGAAGGTTGTGTTTTCCTTTGTTCACTTGTGTCCGTCCGGCCTCGTGGAGGGTGAGCTTGCTGAGGATGCGGCTAACGTTTAGCACGAGTTCGCCATGCGATGCATATGCTGGCAATAGATCGCACAGTGCTTGGATCACGTGGGCATGCCAAAACTGCTTGAGGCATTGCTTGTGTTCTGCCAAGTTGCGCAGAATCGCGGTGACTTGCACCAGCACTTGCGCGGCGGCATTCACGTCCTTGTCAAAGGTTACCTGCAATAATACCATTTTTAACACCGCAACCAGACACGTTGCAACACACGCGCGCGAACCTGAAGTGCCTTGGAAAAGACGGCAATTGCCCCGCTGGTCGAGAGCAACGTGACCATCCGAGCCGACCCGGATACGTTCTTGAGCACGCCTGCGACATAGATGAGTGCTTGCGTGGGCACCAAGTGCGCGCACTGGGACGAGAGCACCCCCAGGAGCGTTTCCACCACGGTGACGTGGCAAAAGCGCTCGTCATTGGCCGGATCTTTGCTCTGCATGAACAGGCGCTTGCACGCGGCGACTAAAAGGCGCCCAGACTGGCTCTCGTGGGTCGTAATCCGAGCCAAGTGGCACGCCCACAACTGGACACAATGTGATTCAACGATGACTACGAATAGTGCTACAAACTGTAGAGTAACTACGAATAACGTACCTGCAAGCCCGCATGGACGAGGCCAATGACGTGAGCTTGTGGCGCCACATCCACGTGTGCGAGTAACTTCGTCACACACACGTCAAATGCCGTGGCCACGGGACCAGCTATTACCAGACAACACCAGGCTATTAACATATGCTGATTTGGACAATGAATCCAACATGCGTACAAGAGAAGGCCGTGGCGTCGTCATCGTGATGACGAAGGAGGTGGACGTCGTGAAAGAGCTGGGTGGTGTACTTTGTAACAACTTGGACGGTGCTAGCAGAAGCATCGGACGTTTGGACATCCTCCAGAGCTGACTGGAGCTGCAGAAGCGTCATGTGCAGCGACTCCTACAAAGCGCCACGAATGTGAATGGATCAATCATATGCCAGCAAGTGGCCACGCACTGGTGTGGCATAACATGCCGGATCAACGCTTGCGTCGTCGTCGTCGTCACCTCCGCCTTTGCATTCATCCCCATGAGTTTTAACACCATCTTCGTGATCGTCGTCGTGTTTCGATCGCGCCGAGTCACACAATGGCGACGTGGGCCCGTACATCGTCGCAGCCGCCTTCGATTCATCTGCGCCACCTTGGTTGTCTAGGAGGATCCTAACGATTATAGCTTTGGTGTCATGACATACCGGCATCTTCGTCGCTTTCGACGTCGTCCTTCACATGATGCACGTCGCCCTGGCGGTGAGTTCGGCTTGTGACTGTGTGGGTCGAGGCCGAGGACGTCAGCTGGGGACTCTGAGGTTTGTCGTATTCAATCCCATTTTGCGAGTACGTTGAGCTTGGCCGGGAACTCGGGCGGTAGTCGTCTCCGTGAAAGAGTGGTCGGCCTATGGCGCAATGAGAGAGTTTCGACGAAGTTGCAACGTACTCCCAGTTTTGGGGGTGAATGGTCGAGATGGGTGCTTGAGCGAGGCCCTTGCCTGCAGGTACAATAAGTTGAGAGCTCTAGTGGCATTATGTACAAGGTGACAAGACGTACCTGAGCTAAGACGTGAGAGATGCCACCTCGCGCGATGCAGTCCTCCATGCCGATGATCCCTGACTATTCGTTTTCGTGTCTCGGTTCTATATATGGCAACCAACAATGTAACCGATTCCACTGTGGCGTTGCATCTATGTCGTCCCTCACCCACCAATGCCATGCATTCCAGTACAGTCTACTTCAGATACTGGTCTAACGTTTGCCGTCACGAGCATTCCTCGGGCTGCGCACGCGTGAATGCTGTTCACACATTCCTCGATCAGAGCGGCAACTATATCCTCCATAGCATGCGAAAGATTTTTGAAGAATCCATCTGAAGACCCATTGCATGAGGTTGTCTCGAGGTGCATCAAGCAGTATGTGCCGGGACGGCAGGGACACTTGGTCCCTTGTGCGCGCCGGTTCAAAGTTCGAAAATGCTGTGTCATCCGGATAAATTAGCCAATCAATTCGCGGCAAGTTCAAATTTATCCGGCCAAAAGGCCTCCCAATATGAATTTTACCCGGGAATCGAAGATGCCGAGGAATGTCATTTGCCGATACGAAGTCGGTTACCGTGGAATTCAAATCGAGGCTCATTTCCGAAGAAGACAAATTGTGGAAAGATCGTGCCGATGAAGAGCAAACCGCGCGCGATGATACAACCCCTTCGCAAGAAGACGACGGCACCGATGGTGTCAGTCGTCGGACTGGACTCGGACACACTGCACATGGCACAGCAGCTGCTCACGTTCAGTCGACCGCCGACCCCAACACGGGAATTTGCCACCACCACCACCACCACCGACGAAATCCACCAACACTCGCAGTTGCTTACACCGCCGCACAAGGTACATCCTTCCATCTACTCATGTGTCGAACCAACAAGGAACCGCTGGATGTAGATCGTGTCCCCCCTCAAGTTTAAGCGCCTCAGCATGTCACCGGTATGAAATTTTCCTTAACGTTCCTATTGCAGCAACTAACGTCACGGGGGGTCTTAGGTTCCATTTCCGAACGCCGCGCTGTCGTCCATGCTCATCAATTCATGCGAGAATATCGCGCCCGAGGAACTCCTCCGACAGCATCGCCTGCGCTTCAAAGCAGTCCGCAAGCGGTACCATGCATAAACTCCACGATCGATCGAGGTAATTGACGAGTATGTAGGTGGCAAAAGTGGCATCACGAACGACACAAGCGCCTGTCCCGCTTCGAGTTCAAACAATCGCCGCGTCCATCCAGTCCATCAACGCCTTGCCAGCCCCATAAGAGGGAGACGAACCACGCCGTCATATGCAGGACAATCATTTGAATCATCCCTTGTTCATTTTGTAATCATTTTTGAATGTGTTATTGTGCTTGCCCATGGTGTAAAGTGACTTGCCACTTGATCCACGCCAATAAGCACGTTGCCACATTTGCGTTCACTGTACCTATCACTATCATCATGCCGACTTGCCAAGTTCTTTATCGTTTTCCGCTGTGATGGAAGGCGTCATGAAGGTTGCGGCGAGGGGGTCGGGGTCGTGGGTCATGATCTCATCGAGGCGCTTCATGCATGTCGCGGTGTTTGGAATCAACGTGACGGGTTCCCACGTGATCGTGTCGGTGGTGGAGGTGGACACATCTCCGCTCGCTTTCTGCATGCAATATGATCACATTACGTGATTGATGGAGAAACGTACCTTGCGGCCGAGGGCCAACGTCCGCTTGAGCATGGCGGAGATCTGGGTCGGGTTCAAGATGGGTTCCGCATGCTTCTGCACAGCCTCCATGCGGTCCTGCACCTGCTTCGTGGAGGCAGCCATCGCGTCTACTATGCGCTCCATATGATCAATGGCGCGAAATTGCCGCTGCAAGAGGTCGCTTCGATGGAGCAGCAGGGCGATGGACTCGCGGGTTTCTTCGTCCGTTTCCAAGTCGACATGCGCGTCCACGAACGCACATGCCTCGTCAATCTTGTACATGGCAAGAGCCAAACGCTCCTCCAACGCCTGGGTCACATTGTTTCGCTCAAAGATCTGCCCCGCGAAGTCAGTGCATGCCGCCTTCAAGTTCTCCTTCATGTTGCCAGAATGCATTGCGTGTATATGTTTTCTATCAATTTAGACCAATCACGATCAATTTTGCAGAATATTTAAACCAATCACATGCTTGTGCTTTGAATTGTTCAATCCACGTGCAATCAAAATGGAAGACAAAGTGCATGCGGTCGATGGTACTGTGAATCCTCTTGCCATCAAGATGGAGAAGGAAGCGCACGTGATGTACTTTCTGCGACACATTCGGCAGCTCCCCGATCCATATGCACGACAAGACCACCACCGAGTTGTCTTGCTCTTCTTCTGCGTGCAAGGCCTCGCCCTCCTCGGAGAACTCGACCGCGTGGACAAGAAGGCCATCATCGACTTCGTCTATGCCCTCCAAGTACACCCCGATAGTCGCGACAAGTCCATCAACGCGGCCGATTGCGGTTTTCGCGGATCCACGTGGCTAGGAAACGCGTACTTCAAGGGGCCAAGGGAATACGAGAGCACCACGTACGACACCGCCCACATTGCCAGCACGTACACCGCGCTGTCGATCCTGCGAACCCTAGGCGACAACTTCTCCCGCGTCAACAAACCCGCCATCGTGCAGGCGCTCAAAGCGCTGCAGAATCCCGTCACCGGCGGGTAAACCCACGATCATCGTCGAATCGTCAGTCGGTCAGTCCACAACTTGGTGTAGGTTCATGGCGAGCTCGCTCGGAACGGAAGAAGACATGCGGTTTGTCTACTGTGCATGCGCGATCTCGTACATGTTGGGGGACTGGAGCGGCGTCGACTGTGACGGCGTCGTTCGATTCGTAAACGCGTGTGCGGTACAGTTCGACGACATCCCACCATTCGTCGTCCTTCTCATCGTGTTACTAGACATACGAAGGCGGTTTCGGGAGCTACCCTGGCCTCGAAGCTCAAGGCGGCGTCACGTACTGCGGACTGGCGTCCCTCGTGCTCTGCGGCCGCCTCGTCCAAGCCACGTTCGACTTGTCACTGCTGCAGCACTGGCTGCTCATGCGGCAGCAGCAGGGCTTCCAAGGGCGAACCAACAAGCAGCCAGACGTGTGCTACGCCTTCTGGGACGGCGCGAGCCTGCACTTGCTGGGCCTGCATGGACTCGTGGACGTTTCTACGTGCGAGCGCTTTGTGCTGTCGTGCCAGCACAAGCACGGCGGCATCGCCAAATACGCGACCGTGTACCCCGATGTATTGCATTCGTACTATGGCCTTGCATGGCTGAGCATTGCGGGCGTCGGGCCGGGTCTCGAATCCCTCGATGTCAAGCTGCAGTTGCCACTATAGGACATGTATCCTGGCATAGGTGCCTCGGCTACTGTACTATGTACATACATGGACAACAGCAGCAGTAACGACTAGGAAGCAATAATATGGTAGTCCGTCGAGTTGTACTTCAGTAGTTACACCCCCTAGACTGCGGACGAGTACTGTGCGAATTCACAAACAACTCAACAAATGGACTTGCACTGTATCACATATGCTTGCTCCACCATTTTAACTACAAGAAGTATACAGCATTACTGGGCATGGTGCCGACGTTAGCTCGACCCAGATCTCTTCACTATGACAATCCCCATCATGAGGCATCACATTGTTCTCGTACGATGGAGATTATCTATGTGTTGCTCTCGATATTACGTAGTAGTAGTATAACTTGGCTCTATGATGAAGATGATAAACGGCCAACCCAACCAACTATAGCGTGAGGACCTCGACGCCGCCATCGTCTGTGATGAGCAGCGTGTGCTCAAACTGGGCCGACCGCTTGCCGTCTGCTGTTGCCACGGTCCACTCGTCGTCCCAGTACACGATCTACGCCATAGCATATTCTCATCAAACAAGTTCGTTCAGTGTCCATGCGCAATGAGAGGGGACGTACCTCGTTGCGGCCTTCGCACAGCGCCGGTTCAATCGTGAATGCCATGCCTGGAAGCATCTCGCCGCGCTCGGTGTTGGGGAAATGCAGAATCAGCGGAAGCGCATGGAACGTTCGTCCGATGCCGTGGCCGCAGAACTCGTGGATGATGCTGTGTGACGTGGCCATCGCGACGTCGTGCACGCGGGCGCCGATGGCCTGGAAGGGCACGCCGGCCTTGCAGATCGAGATGGACTCGTCCAGGGCGCGCTGGGTGGCGGCGATCAGCGCTTGACCCGCAGAGTCCACGGTCCCCACTTGGTATGTGTACGACGTGTCGCCGTGGAACCCGTTCAGGAACACGGACACGTCGATGTTGACGAGGTCGCCGTCTTCCAGCTGTCGGCTACAGGCTTAAGATGACGAAGAGAATGAGGGAGACATGTAGTACTTGTCGGGGATGCCGTGCACGACGATTTCGTTGACGGATGTGCAAATGGACTTAGGAAACCCGCCGTAATGCAGCGGCGATGGATACGCGCCGCGTCGGCAGATTTCAGCGTGCACGACGCGATCGATGTCGTCGGTGGTGCGACCTACTTCCACAAGCGTGCCGGCGAACTGTACGATGTCCCGTGCAAGCGCACAAGCTTCGCGTAGCCGCTGTTGTTCGTCGGTATCCAGGATCGGGATGTACGGCGGGAACGGTGGCATTTCTGCACTCGTCGTGTACGGTGGCCGCGGGATGTGCGCTGGGACAAGGAGGCCTGGGGACACCAAGCCTTTCTGAACAAGGCGCTTGGAGCTAAAGAAGTTGCGGGAGCCGCGGTATGCTGCCATGGCGGCGGCACTGCCACGAGCGACGGCGAACATGGCGAGGTGTTTGTGATGATGATGAATGGAAGGACACTGAAGGCAAATACCATGATTTGATTGGCTGTTGAATGATGCACTTTCCGTCGGGTTTTTGTGCTTTTGATTGTTTCCGCATCATGATTTGGACGCTTTGACACAACCGTCAACCATAATGTTCAATATTGGTCCTCTACAGTATAAGGGTATGTATCGTTGTACGCTATGTGCGCGTCCGTCGTGTAACGATTACTCGCGCCGGTTGCTTCATGATCTCCAGATCCTCGACCCTTTGAATATGCGAACGACCTTCGCCATTCATGACTGTAGCAATCGTCGACAATAGAGCCATACAAGCTACCATAGTGCTTCTGCATGTCCCTGTGTGTGCTCCCCGTTCCTCCCTTGTCAGTGGCGACCAGCATCTGGACGTTGGCCACGTCAAGGTGAAGTGGAGTGGAAATCCTGCCTACAGGTTGATAAAATGTGCAAATTATTTGCGAAAAAATATTTGCTCGTCCGAGTATCCGGATAACGAGCCTTTTCAACTTTCTCACCATCGTCCATACAGAAGGTGAGACATTTGACGTCATTCCGCTTCGATTAACTTTACCATATATTGAGCCCACCACAGATTTGGACAAGGACGAGTACATACGTAGTGAGTGGGGCATGATTACGTATTGCATGCATCATTATAAACAAATCTTAGTTCTTACTCGACCTGGAAGATCGCCGAGTGCTTGGGCTGTTGGCGGGTCTGTCCCTGGTACTCCATTTCGTACTCAAACTTGACGTTCATGAGGCGCTGGTTGTCGGAACGACGGACGACGTCGATCTTGCCTTTGACAATGTCGCCTTCGCACACTTGAATGGGCGAGAGAGGGAACGCTTGCTGGCCCCAGTGCGTCGTCTGGACGTACGGAGACGTGGACAGCGTGACCTTGGACACGGCGGGGTTTTCGGCCGACCCGTGGAAGTCGACGTCGAACCATCCGCCGAGGGCGCCGAAGCGGGTTGTGCTGGTGAACGTGATGCTGAAGTCCGACTGGACGGACGCCACGTCTTCGAGGGTGCATTTGTTCAGGTCGAGGTATTTGATGGAGGCTTCGTCCCCGATGACGTCTTCGGCGCTCAACTCCACGAATTGCGACGTTTTCAGCGAGAATTGCTCTTGTTCTTCACGGAATGCGTTGCCGAGGCACGACATGTCCACGCCCCACTGGTCCTTGGTCTCGGACACGAACAACGTCCAGTCGTCCATGGCGTTGGAGAACTCGTTGAATCGTTTGAGCGCAGTCTGTTCCAAGCCCAGCGGAGCCACGTACATGGTGGCGTGCGAAGGGTACAACGCTCCACCAGGTTTCAACCACCGGTCGCGGGCGAGCAAGACCGAGTCAAACATGGATTCGCGCATCAAGAAGTATCCCATCCACTCGGAGATGATGATGTCGACGTGCTCGGGGAGGTTGACGTCTTCAATCTTGGATTGGATCACGGTGACGATGTGGTCTTGCTTGTTCGCGGCCACGACGCGACGGGCCTGCTTGGCCATGTCCGTCGCTTCCACGGCGTACACACGGCGGGCACCAGCTTGGGCGGCCCAGATGGCCAAAATCCCGCTGCCGGTGCCGACATCAAGCACCACCTTGTCTTGGAAGCACGACGCGTTTTCGAAAATGGCGTCGCGGTAGCGTTGCATGCGCAACGTGTCCGAAAGCATTTGCTTCTGGTGGTAGATGAAGCCATATGTGCAGAAGTAGTTGGCGAAGTCGGAGCTTTCTTCCCAGGCCTTCTTGGCGGCGGGGGTGAAGTCGGACGGAGGAGGAGGAGCGCTCATCGTTATGAAGGAGTATCTGAAAATGAAAATGCAGTGGATGTCAAAGGGTGCTCCTCCCTTCCACCAATAAAACGAGGCCGTGCATCCGGATACATCCGGATTCCCAACCATCCGCTTATTTGTCACCCCGAATATTGTTCTGTACCTTCTCGATTTCCTAAAACGGCATGAATATTTGACAAAAGTAACCCTCGTTTTGCATAATTTAGCAACAAAATTTGACAATTCTTTTCAACGATCCAGCTATTTGTAGCCCTTAGGATTTGACGATTTCGTATTTTTTTGAGAGGGGAAAATTTGGAAAAATATAAATATCATTTTAAGCGCATGTCGAACGGAAAGCGAAAGCGAAGTCGAGACGACCCGACTTCTGATGAGCGACGGAAGAAGTCCGCAACTGATGCGAAGAAGAAACAGCACAAATCATACATGAAGGACTTCAAGAAATGGTCCAAGACGTCGTCCACGACAGGTGCGACTGCAGCCGCCGCCGAGTGGTTGACCGAGGACGAAGCCACATTGCGGGAGAAGCATCAATTCCTTCGCAACGACGACGCGGATGCTGTCGACGGAGCAAAGGACTGGAAAGTACGCATGGCAGTGCGGTACTACCAGAAGCTCTTTAAGGAGTACGCGTTGGCCGATTTCAGTCGATACACCGATGGCAAAGTCGGGCTGCGATGGCGGACGGAGCGCGAAGTGATCGATGGCAAGGGGCAGTTTGTGTGTGGCAACAAAGCATGCGACGCCAGCGAGGGCCTTGAGAGCTACGAAGTGCTCTTTGCATACGTTGAACATGGCGAGAAGAAGCAATGCCTCGTGAAGCTTCGCGTGTGTCGCGCATGTGCCCTCAAGCTGTTCCACCGCAAAATCCTCGAGATTCAATCGCGGCACCGCCACGACAAAGTTGCCGCCCACGTCGATGTCCAGAACATGCTGCAAGGCAAACAAGTGGACGATGACGACGACGACGGCCACGATGACGATGGTGACGACAATGCTCGTGGTGACGACAATGCTCGTGGTGACAATGCTAAAGTCTAACAACTATACCACCCCTTCTTCATGCATTCCATGCTCCAATCTTACCCAATATCCGGTCACACACACACTCAAGCGATCTCCACTGCAAGTTCGAACGTCCATATGAAATATGATTGCCCGTTCATCTCGTCAAGATGCATCCCATCAAAGCAAAAGCTCATCCCTTTGATTAATCAAGCTAACTGTTAAGGCTTTCACATACACACATGTAGTGTTTTGAGTGTTTAATCGATAGTATTGTCAAGTCGATTCGAAATGGCAGACAATCGATTGACCAATCAAAACCCAGAATCTAATCAAGTGACCAATCAAATCCACTCTTGGACCATTTCAACATTGAATTAGTGTGTGAATGAAATTAGTGTGACATTGGACGATTTTTACACACAAAACTTACAAAGATCGAAGGATTTGGCGAATCAGCCCAAAAGTCCAAATTTGGTAGGACAACGTTATTAACACATCCTACAGCAACATCATCCACCTATGTACCAGTAAGCATGATCACAAGTCGGAAAGGCTGTGGTTCATAGCTACATATGTACGTATTCTCGTTCCTTCATGGAGATTGACTACATGTACTGGTGTACAGGATGGAAATAACAACTTCAACGTCCTGCCACCAGCAACATATTATTGAAGTCTACCCTCGCTGGTTGCCGAACGACGCCATGATGGTGGTTTTCTTGGCAGTTGCGAGAAACTTTTTCTGCAACCCTTGCATTTCCTCGACTTGTTGGCGCAGCAAAAAGTTTTCCTTTTTCAAATCCACGTGCGTGGCAAACCCGCTTTTGGACGCGCACACTGTTTCGAGGTCGGCGCGGAGCTGGGCCACTTGGTCTCGCAACGTTTGATTCTCACCTATTTGAAATGTCCTTGAACGAACGAACGATCGGTTCAAACCGAAACATACGCGCCAGAGACTGGTTGTGGCTGCTGCTGCTGTCGTTGGGGCAATTGTTGCTCAGCAAGTTGCTTGTCCGCTGGCCGTCGTCCCCCATCGTCGTCGTCCGTTGCTGGGTCGCCTTGACGAGTTTGTCGGCTTGTTCCGAGGCCATTTTGAGCTCGATCGACATCGCGTCCGCGTTCGATCGCGCCTTCTGCCGCAATTCGGCCAACTCTTGCTGCATCATTTCAACCTAAATAATTTCCCACATTACAAGGAAATCTTAACGTTATTTTAATAGCAAGCCACACGAACGAACTTGGCGGTCTCGCGCGTCGAGTTTTTGATAGACTTGGTTGTGCTCAGCTTCAAACACCAGGGTTTGCGCTTTGAGCGACTCCACTTGGCTGGTATATGTCTACCCGTTGTCTTAACATGAGGACTTTTGGGCTCAGTGGGATTGCTTTCATCACAATGACACTCTTCTCCCCACTCCATATTGTGCCATCACAACTACGAAAGTGTATGTATGTACAGTGTACAGTGTACGTCGTACCCTTTCGTTTTTTCGCATCCTCTCGACCAAGTCGGTCAGCCGCACGCACTCGACCTCGGCCACCCGCTTCGCCTCCATGGATCGAGACACGCTGTCCTCGGCTCGCTGCTTCGCCTCTGTGAGCGCAACCGTGGCTGTCTGGGCCGCCTGCAGTTCCTGCACCTGGCTCTGCAAAGTATGGATGACCTGGGTGAGGTGCCGTCGCTCCGTGTCGTACTCGGCCGTGGTGTCTGCGACCTGTTGCCGGATTCGCTGGGCCACTTCGACGTTGGATGTCATGTTGAACTTTTTGTCGAGCACATGCTGCTCCACGAGTCGTTTGGTAGCCTCGAGGGCCTCCGCCGCCGCCTCGGCCTGCTGTTGCAACTACACCAATCGACATGACCATGGCTGACAATTAAGGACATTTGGCGGACGGTTCCTACGGCAATGGCATGGCGAGCTTTCAAACGCTCCAATTCTAGCTCTGTCTCCTGCAACCGGTCTGCTAAACTGACCCCTTGGCCCATGCTCAGTTGAAATGACGAGGCCGACGAGGACTAGACAGCGCGACGGTGACATGTGCTGACGGTAGCGATGCTGATGATACTGCGCACCTTGGTCAGGGCGACCAGCTTGTCCTTCATCTCAGCATTCTCGTCTAGGGTCTTTTGGAGAAGTTCCAGCGTCCGAACATGTTTGGACCGAAGCTTCTCGGTGGTTCGGTCCATGCTACCCCTCGCTACGGGGGGAAGTGCAAAGCGTTACACTGAAGGTTTCACGTTGTTGTGGCGTGTTACAGTAAACATATGTTGGAATGGTTTGTCATGGCAGTGGCGGAGGGAACATTCATGCCATGGTATGTATGTACATACGTTTGCTGCGTTTGAACGTGATGGAGAATCTTCAGCATCACGACGCGGAGTTACTGGCATCAAACTATCGACAGGACACGAATCAACTTGGACGTGCACGTTCGACGGTAACTATGATGCATGCATGTGCAGACGATCATTCAGTAGTAGCCTGGGTCAACTTGCTGTTTGGAATTGCCGACGAAAAATTCATGCAGACCTCATGCAAGGCCTGCACGACATTCTGTATGTCAACGGTAGAATCTATCTTCCTTGACTTGTTAGTGCAAACTGGGAAGGGTAGTGTAACGGACAAGTTGCTTTTACTGTTAGAACCGTTTCATCAAGCTCGCGGTTACATTTAGTAGTGTTTACTTAATGGATAGTAATACTATGGAAATCCCTGGAAATGATTGGTGGGTGGATTATTTGAGTTGCGGAATCATTTCTCGCAACTAAGAGTAACATTTGAGCATGACCAAGTCGAAGAACCAAAAGTCGCAGCGCGACTCGTCCGTGCGCGGGTTCAGCGCGAACAAAGCGGCCAAGAAGATGGCCAAGAAGAAGCTTCAGAAGGTCAAGTCCGCGGCTTCGGAAAAGGCGCCAGTGACCAAGCAGCCCGTGTACCCCCAGTCGGAAAAGGCTAAGGCCAAGAAGGGCACGGCTGCAGGTGGACTGTCGGCCATGCAGGAACAGATGAAGAAGCGACTGGAAGGTGGCAAGTTCCGCATGCTGAACGAGCAGCTGTACACGACGACGGGCGACGAAGCGTTCAATTCTTTCCAAGCCGAACCAGAGCTGTTCGACACGGTACATACATAGTGTCTATGATCTTTTGAAACGTATACTCATTGTAGTACCACGAAGGATTCCGTGAAATGGCCGAGAAGTGGCCCGCGAACCCTCTCGACAAGTTCATCGACTACGTGAAGCTGCACCCGAAGGCCATCGTGGCCGATTTTGGCTGCGGCGACGCGCGGTTGGCCGCCAGCGTGTCCAACACAGTGCACTCGTTCGATCTCGTGTCTCGCAATCAATACGTCGTCGCATGCAACATTGCACATGTATGTATGATATATATACAAGTTCTCGACTACTCGCATCGGTTGGTTAATGTACGCACGAAGTCACACGTAAAATTTGCCACAGGTCCCGCTCCCAGACGAATCCGTAGACATTGCTGTCTATTGCTTGGCGCTGATGGGGTCGACACTGGTCGAGTACCTATTGGAAGGCCGCCGAGTGCTCAAACTTAACGGCGTGGTCAAGATCGCCGAAGTGAAAAGTCGATTTGAAACCGATTCGTTGGGAGGCATCAAGGTACGTACTACGAACCGTTGCAAGTTGGTTGAATCTGGTCAAACCAGGGATTTGTGAGGTCGATGCAAGATCTCGGATTCGACCTCAAGCACAAGGTATGAGGGTATATATATATATATATATATATATATATCGATACTTGGCTGTGTATACTTAGTATTTGAACGCTCACAGCAGTACACAATGTAGGACGAAAACAACAAAATGTTTGTCACGTTTGAATTCACAAAGGTTAAGCGCGCCCCCAAACCCAACGTGGAGATTGAAATGAAGGTAAGAAAGATGGATCAATATCATCCCTCTGGTGTATTTCTACGTGAAAACACACGAGCCAGTGGGTCACGAAGTTGCTCGTACTTGTGATTTGCATAGGCCTGCGAGTACAAGCGGCGGTAAACCAGTGGATTGTTCGCTCGTTTGACTTGCTTTGGATTGGATATATACACGAGATTTATATCCAATCCAAGACGACTGGTTTTAAATCGAAACAGTTCATTGGTTAATATAAAGGAAAGGATTCCATTGGCGCATTCGCAATCTTGAAACGGCCTTCGGAATTTCGTAAAATTTGGCTGGAATGTCATGGTTGGTGAATGGAACGAGCTTGACCATCAAGCGCGACAGCCCCAAGCTTCCATTCACCTAGCAAGGACTCTAGCGCGTGCTTTCCTCTAGTCGAAGGCTGCCAAAACTCGACCGAGTCGACGTCCGACGGAGCTATGGTCGTGGGCTGGCGGAACTCCATCTCCAGGGACAACCCATCCCCCACAAACATGGCACTGTTCGTTGGCTGTGGTTGGGCCGTGGGTTGATTCCTGCCAAACATGGCAGCCCCCAATTGCTTGCTTTTGACGACATACGCGGCCTTCTTGGCCGCGAGCACATGCTTTTCGTGGACAAGGGCCGAGTCCTGCGGGGCCAACGCTAAAGCGCGGTCCAAATCTACTTGCGCCAGCTCAAACTTGTCTTGCATGCGGTACCCCATCGCTCGAATGTACAGCGCTTTCACGCTTTCGCCATCAAGCTTCATGGCCAAGGACGCATTCAGGATGGCTTGGTCCACGTGTTTGGTTTTGAGGCGGCAGAGCGCAAAGTTGAGCAGGATGCGCTTCTTCAAATCGTCCATCTAGTAGGGCATCCATCATGTTAGGACACTACGGACAGAAACGTACTTCGACTTGTTCAGCGTCCGTGTCGCTGAAAATGTACTCAAAGTACACAAGCGCGTGGTGGAAATGGTATGCCGCTCGCTGGTACTGTCCGTGGGCAAAGAAGCGATTGCCGAGGCGACGGAACGTGTCGCACTGTGTCAACTTGGCGCGTGTCGTCATATCCATCAACTTTTGCTCGGCCGAGTGGTCGTGGTTGCACGATGTGCGCATACTTGCACGCTCAGACTTGACCCTCGCAGCATGCTCCTTGGCTGCGAGCTCGTCGGGGTCTTCCCATGCACTCCACTTTTCATATTCGCGCGTCCAGTCGTACCCCCGTTCGCGATCGAGCTTCGCTTGCACCGCCTCCTGCCTGTCTCGTGCTTGCTTGGAGTGCTCCACCTGTGCCAAGTACTCTTCCGCCGATACCTTCTTCCCGTCCTCTTGATACTTGGACACGTTCGCCAACATCTCGACGATCTCTGGAGTCAATCCGCATGCCATCGCGTCTGTCGGCGTCGGTTCGCAACCTAAAACTCAATCCTTTCTCTGGCGTGAGTATAATTAATTGATAGTAGTATCATTAGATTAATAATATTTAAAATGTTCTTCACCCCGTCACTACTGTAATATGTAGACTACCGTAAGTACCCTAAGTGTATAATATAAAAATGCATTTAAAATGTATTCTTTTGACGTGGTTTAGAAAAACACTGTTGGATTTATGTCAAAAGGTTCAAGGTCTATGTTGAGGATCAACCAGGGCGGCGGTGGTTGCATGCTGCCGCATACACATGCCAATGAAACAACACTTTTCTCTGGATGCACTCGCCGAAATGACCATCGGCCCGGCGCTTGTCGAGCCGTTGGAACTGCTGTCTGTGGCGCCACTGCCCCCATGCCGTCCACGCCCGCGTCATGTCGGAGCCTTGGCGGCGGTCCAGGAATTCGCGCAGCTTTTGCCGCCGTGTCGTAACGTCGGTCCATGCATGCCATAGACGTCGCAACTCCTTGACTTGCTTGTCGGAACTCCATCGTTTCAACTGCTTTCGAAGCCTGGTCCACCGCTGCTTTGCTCGGTGCCGCACCTCATTCCATTGCCGCCACCTTGTGCGCAGGTTCCATTCGCGTCCCCTTCGCGCCGCGGTCTCCGCCATCGCTCTACGCGACCATTATAGCAACAAACATGCCATTTCTGATGTGTTGCAGTTAGGCCACGTACTCTGCATGCATTTTCTGTACTGCCACCGCACGCTGCCACGCCACGAGCACCCTATTCAATCGCATGAATAGCATCGTAACCTAGCCCATAGACCGGACCTCGTTTTTGCTTTGAGTGTTGCATACTCTGCAGCCTGCGCTTGAATATGTCGAGTCTTGGCCATCCCGAGCCACGCCCTCAACACGTCGTGGAGGTGCCGACGCCGCCATCCCCGACGAAAGGCGCGACATCGTTTGGTTCCGTCTGCCAGCTGCCGCCACGATGTCCAGCATCGCTGCACCGTCGACTTGGCAAAGAATCGATCGGCGTAATTCATCAACACACGTGACCGCCACTGTTGCCACAACTGACTTTGGCGAAACCTCTTGGCTGATTGCAAATGCACGGTTCGCAGCCATCGGCGCTTCCAAGCGCTCACAGCCGCACGTTTCTTCCACGTGTTGAGGTTCCTTTGACCTTCCTCGAAGTGACGACGGGACGCCGCTCGGGCGTCTCCATAAGCCACCCACAGCCTGACAAAGCGTCGAAGGCGACGAGTCCCCGCGCGGCAATGCAACCTACGAAAACACCTACCGAATCGAACGAATGCCAGCCATTGATGTAGCCGGCGTCCAATTTCGCGCACCCTGGCGTACGCGACGGCTTGGCGAGTTTGCCGTGCGACGTGGACCTGGACCTGCCACTCGTGCCAGAGTTGTCGACGTTGTCGCATGTGACGGGTGGTGGCTACGGCTCCGACTTGGATGGATATGGCCACCTTGGTGCGCCACACATGCCACCGCCGCCGTAGATTGCGATGACGAGCGTTCGCTGCCGCTTGAAGCCATTGGGTTCGAGCGACGAAGTGGAGCTGCGTCCATATGAACCATTGGCTGACGGCATCCGACAGGCCGATTGCTGTTCGACGTTGCTGCGCTCGACGGAGCACTTGCTGAGAAACTTTGAATGTCAGCCATCCATTCCACATACGCCGGCTGATCCGTGCTGTTTGAGCCGCCCGCCATTGACGTGTTTGGACGGTGCGGATCGCTGCATAGTGAACCCACACGTACCAGTGCGTGTGGACCATCCGTTTGCAGCGCACGCGGTCCATCCGATTGATCCATTGATCGCGTCGGTGCGACCAAATCAAGTACCGCTGCGTGGCTTTCACTGCTGTCACGTGGACGTGCCACGTCATGAGCACCGACCGAGCCTGTCCCTGCGTCCGTGCCGATCGGGTGGTGGCAACAATCTGAACCGCGCGACGACGAGCTGCCCCAGCGACCCGCCATCCGCGTAAAACGACCTCCAACTTATGCAAGCGGCAGTGACGGGTAGCTACAAACAGGTGCCGCCACCACCGCCAGCGGTCGCGCCGCACAGTCTCGAGAAAACGCGTCCGTCGGTCGGTTAAAGCAGCGGCGGCGGCTCCTCGTTGCATGTACTGGCGCCAAGCAGCCCATACTTGTACAGCTAATTTGGCGTACCAACGAGAAGTTAGGTGCAATTTCGTGGCTCGTAACCACGCTTGCTGCTTCCACGCGTTAAAGACACTGGCGCGAGAACGACCTCCCCGTTGGCATTGGATGGTGGATAAGATCGCCCGATGGGACCTACCAATTAATAACACAATTGATGCTCCACGACGCCATCGAGCGAGGGATTCGATGGTTTGATGAGCCTTCTTTCACAGATATTCATCCTTGGGTGTTGATATCAAGTCTACTCACTACTGCTACTGCTACTACTACTACTAGTATACACAATACCGTTCACACAAGCAGTCTCGTACCTTGCCGTGGCAGTGACGGTGGACCAACCAGCGAGACACTGGGCCAACAGGCTGCGCGTGATAGCACCCAGCCTTTTCAGCACCTAAAACAACACCACCAACAACATTACGAAAGAAGAATGGGTGGCTGGGAGAGCTCAAACCTGGACGGTCACGTGGTGGTGCTTCCATTGACGCCAGTGTGCGGTTGTGATGTGTTGAGTGGCCATTTTCGTCGCGCGCGCTCGCCACCGCGCCGCCGCCATCCGTTTCGTCCACGCCGTCCACACCCACCGACACGAGTTGGCTTCAAACACACGAACTGCCAGATCGTGTCGTTTCGCGGTGAGTTGCTTCGCTTGGCTGTAGTGCTGCCACGTCATAAACAGTCGCTGGACAACGTGGCCCATAATCACGTGGCCCACGCGCGCGCACTTGGCGCGCCGAACCTGCTGGTCCAACACGAGTCGAATCCAGCGCTGAAAGCACCGCAACACCACGGCTTGCGCGCGGAACTGCCACGCCAAATCTTGTCATCATAAACCAATCAATCAGTGGTGTCGATACGTGCAGAATTAATCGAGTGTTGAAGGTGTCGATACATGCAATACAAATAAACGAGGGATGTACTGTACAGTACCGTCTTGCAGGGCGTGGTGGTGCTGGTGGGATACAAACTGAACCCACGCAACAACTGCGCGTTGCTGCCGTCGTTGCTGCGTCCGGGCGACGCCCAAAGCTATGCGTTGCTTGCGGCGTTGGTCGATTCGGAAATGGGCTATCCACGCCATCGCGACCGCCAAATACTAGTATATACACAAAACACACCCACAAAAACCCATGAGAAGACTACACTACCATCACCAACAACGACGCTGACAAGTGATGGAGCTAAATAGTGTGAAAAAACCGACTTGTCGACGGGCACTACGATCCGACAAGGCAGTCAGTTGCTGGCGGCAAAGATGTTGGCGCGCTGCAAACTGCTTCCACAAGATAAGGAACCGCGCCGCCGTTCGCCCTGTGAGCAACACCAGCGCTCGATTGTGGCGCAGTGCCAGCGTCGTTTTCTCGCGCTGGAAGCACCGCCACCGCTGCACAGCTCGTTGCTTTGAGCGTTGCTCGGCCACATCAGTGCAATTCAGCTTTCGTTGCCGCGCCCGCACCGCAAGTTGCCACGTAACCCACTTCCGACGACACAGCGCAACGCGACCGGCAGTGGCCACTTTGAACCTCACGCGCCATTCTCGCCAGCATTCCGTCGGTACGGCGCGAGGCAAATTCGTCGCTCGTACGCTAATAAATAGATCCGTCAAGAAATATCCACTGCGCTTTGTATCATTTCACACAGGGGACTGTACCGGCGGCGCTTTCGCACGAGGTCTCGCCACCGACGCCACCTTGTGGCTAGTGCGTTTGTCCAGTAGTTGCGCAGCAACGAGGTGCACCTGACCTGCCTTGTCTGCCTTGTGTGCCGATAGCCCGCCCAACCGACGAAGGCCTTGTGGACCAAGTTTCGATGCGATTTTGTTGTGGCCATCGCAGCCAGTTTGCTTTGCATGACGTGGCGCGATAGGGTGTCAAATACGCAGCGAATGGTGTGCGTGGCCCACCGCTGCATCTAGAAATTACACGCATATATGATATGATTGTACTTAGTAAGAATCGCACAGGATATTGTGTGAGTAGTACAATGTGGTGGGTTGTCGAGCGAAGGGAGTGGGTGCGGACCGCCCACCGCCGCCATCGCTGGATGTGACAGTGCGCGGCAAAGGCCGTCGCAAGTCGCAGTTCTCTCTGGCGCCTAGCCCAGAGGTGCCACATGCAAAACAACGTCCACCGCCGCCGCTCTTGCTTCATCTCTGCATAAGTCCTCGCTTTCGTCACCAACACGCGAAGGTCCATCCGGGTCTGACGGCGGTACACGAGGGCCGCTGGACGGACGAGGAGCTGATTGTTAGTGGCTTTGATACTATTTAGAGTAGGAACACGTACCCACGCCTCGATGCATGTGATGGCGATGTATGCGATGACGACGGGACTGTCGATAACGGATGGCTGTGAGCCACCGATAAAATTGCACATGCAGCATCGACCACCGCCGTCCACGCTCTAGGGTCTACACATCAACAACAACATCATCATGACTACCCAGTCGTTCAAGTCGCTCGAAGTCGCCATAGAGGGGACAAGAAGTGGAGGTAGCATTCATACGTTTTCGCTCACCTGAATCATGTGGCGGCGGCGCTGTCGTTTCAGAGTCCACTCCCTCCATGCTCTAAAAGCACGAGATCCCGACGTCAGCACATGCAGTTACTACGTCCATCTTGACAGCACGAACCGAAGGCACGGGAGTTGAACCAGCACTTCCAACCGCAGCACCGTGGCCTGCAGCGCCGTACGCGTGTCCACGAGGGTCCTTGTGATGTACCTCCAGCTTCGTAAGGCCGCTTTCAGCACCACTTGGCACCGGAACGCGCGCAAGAGGTGCGCGAGGTGCCGCCGGCTCCGTCTATGGGCCACGTACGCCGTCCACACTGTCCATCTCAGCCGTCGGCACCGACGGACCGCGCCAGCACGGATCGTCCGTGCGGTCTGCTGGAGACGCCCCGCCTCGTGTTTAAACTGCACCCATGCGGTCAAGGCGCGGTGTCGGCTCGCAGCAGTCCAGTGGTGAGTAGCCACGTGCTTCAGCTCCCTTTGTACGTGGATGTCTTGTGTAAACTGCGCCCATTGCGCCAAGACCAAGGCCTTTCGGTGTGTGTGACAGTGCGCGATGGCCGCTCTGTGACGTCGTTGGAGGTGTACCATCTACGCAAACAATACAGTATTCACGAGTTGAGTGTGTTTTTGCTTTTTGAGGGAAAGAGAGAGACATAGTCAGCAGGCGGCTCACCTCTCGCCACAGGTCGAACCGACGACTCAGTTGACGGACGAGCCAATGCTGCAACGCTCGGATCGAGTTCGTCCGGTCCAGTCGTTGGGCTGACGCCATCTCTCGCCATCGCTACATCAATATGACAGGCAGGTTGTTGTTAACAAAGTTGCACTTCGTGACAAGACACGATGATGACGTGGCTGCAGACTATGCGATCCGTTGCTTGCACTAAAGTGCACTGTGCACTTCCTCAGCGTCGTCCGTACCTCAAACCCACGCAGCGCCGCAACGCACTGCCATCGATGGATCGCCGCCGTGCACACCACCGTCGTGGCGTTGTCCGATTGGTCGAGCAGGTCCACGAAAGCGTCGACCGCTGCTTGTGTCGTGGCCTGTCGGCATCGCCGTAAATGCAAGATTCGCCACTGCTTCCATATCCACAAGCCCCGGCGGTGCGCGGACGCGAGGGTCAACTGACTCTCGAGGGCGACCAGGGGGTGCAGGGCATGCTGCCACGTGTGGATGGCTTGGTACTGCTGGGATCGTGGCCAAAGAGCGGCCACCCGACGAAGCAGGGGCCGACTGTGTTGCCATTGCCGCCACCGCCGCCAAACCAGTTGCAAGTGGCGCCTGGTGGTTGTGGCGTGTGCGATCTCTAGCGCCATGACGCGGCGCTGACTGGCGAGGAACACGGAGGCCCGCCACGTGGAAAAAAGGCTCGACATCGACCGTCCTTCCAATAGCGCCACCACGGCGGAGAAGCGATGGCGGAGGTCCACCCGTTGCCTCCACTCGCGCAGTACTGTGTCTTATGTGAGAACGAAGACATTTCAAATAGAATGGACATGCAACCATTGGTTTGCAGGGTTATCACAAGACGAGATGGGGAAAATGGATGAATATGAAAACCAAGGATCGCATTCCCTGGATGCTTGCTGCACACATGAACGGAGTGAGTGAGAGAGACCTACCTAGGTGGCAAATGCGAATGTGTCGATGATATCGAAACGCGCGCAGCTGCGGCGCTAGCCACGCATGCCGCGACCACAACGCAAACCTACGACCAGGAAACATTCGATTTAGATGATATGAATAAACTCATCCCGACACCAATGACACGGTTGGTTCATATATCGCCATAACAGCAGCCCACGAGCAACGTATACATGCCAATATTTCACTGTATGTACCGCGTGGACATCAAGGTTGCGCTTGATGTGGCCATGAACTCGTGCAACTTGGCCACCAACATTTGTTTCGAGTGTACGAACGACCGCCACGTGGCAGTGCAATGCTGGAGCTGCGCGAGTCGTCGCGTGCCAAGCAGGTCCTGCAGCCTGCGCTTGAGGGCGAGTTGGGCGATTCGGCGCTGCTGCCACTGCGTCAGCGCTCGACGGCAGAGTGCCCGTTGGAATGCCGTGGCGGCGGCGGCAGTTTGATGGGAGCGGTGGAGGCGGTGATCTGCGTAGGCGCGCCACCGGAGCATCCGACCGGCGAGGTCCAGCTGATGCCACCGCTGGACGATGCCTCGCATCGAGTGCTTCTGTCGGCGAACAAGTGCAATTTGCACTTTCCACGTCGTCCACGCCACATGCACCGTCGACGCGTGAAACCAGCGCTTGGCCTGGCCGAGTTTGGCTGTCCAAAGGCGCTTCGATTTGGTCGCGTTGTGCCACTACCACACAACAGAAACCATCCAATTCAACACACATGCATCCTTGCAAACGAAAGGACACCGTCGCCTAGGCGTTGAAGGCCTTTGCATATATATATATGCATGTACATGTTGCACAGCGGCGTGTTGCCAACGTCGCTGCATGTGCGCGACTTGAGCCGTCCTCGCCCGCCGCCGACCGGATTGCGTCCGCGTGTGCTGCTGCCACCGCTCCAACACCCTCGCAGCCACGGACGTAAAGAAGTGGCAGCTTCGAAGCGTGGTCCATTGGCGCAGCTGTCGCTGGAACGTTGCGGTTGTGTGCAAAGTCGTGACGGCCACATGCAACTGCCGCCGCGCCCGAGCCGCTTGGCACTGATGGGATTTCAAACGGATGGCTACGGTGGCTCGACTGTATCGAGTCCACGCTTGCCATGCGTTGCGAACCGTGCGACGGGTCCACGCCACCTGTCCATCGAATATTACCGTCATGATCATCATCCACTAACAACGAATGTCGTGCTACCTCGGCCAAGTCGCACTGCTGCCTCGTTCGCTGAGCCATGTGCGTGTAGGTGCACCATCGGCGCCAGCTTCGAAGAAATGTGTGACGCTGGCTGCACCCAAGGGCCCGTGGCAAGGTGTGGCGCACCCTTCGCAACAACCCTGCACGCCGATGCCAGCACTGCACCGCTTGGCAAAGGCGTCGGGATATGCATCGATCGTCAAGCTCTTTTTTGCCTTGTGCATTGTGAACAAGCCCACGCCATTGCTGAAACATTCGGCCGACGTGGTTGAGGCTCAATGTTTGACATACCAGCCGACTTTTCGCGCGGAGGTGCTTCTGGGTGTGGAGCACGCGCCGCCATCCTGCGAATGTCGTGCCAAGGCAACGCTCGTGCTGCCACGTCATGGCCGCCAGCAACTTGCACCGCATCGATGTCCTCGCGATCACTCTGGCCACCCACTGGCGCCACACGCGGTGTGTCCTGCGCCGATTGCGACCGTCGGTGTGTTGGGCCAACACCCGCCGGACCGCCCGACCAGCCTTGGTCACTCCACTCCAAAGCCGTAAAAGGCGTCGCGTTGTCGAAGTCAAAGTCGAGCGCCGCATCGTCGACACGGCAGCTCGCCACGAGCGATGTTTTCTGTGCCATGTTTTACATGTAAAAACAAAGGTAGTTGAAAGTATACCTTGCATATTGACGCCATACGGTGAAAATGCCGTCGACGCGACGGAGCAGGCGCTGTTGGCAATGCGACTCAACTGTCTTGAGCTTGTTGTACTCAGAGTTCCACACTGTCCACCACCTCCGAGTGCCAAGAAGAGAGTGAAGCGCTAGGCCGTGGACGAACACATGAAGGCGGATATGGCGACGGTGGCGAGTAAGCTCACGCCATGAGCGCAACAAGGTCGTGAGTCGTCTACCAGCCAGGACACGCACTGCTGTGTGGAGTCCAGTGCGGCGACGCCAGTGCTAGCCAAAACATGGTCGAGGTGAAGGAACGATGTTAAAGAGACACATCGCCATTGTGTGTATTGTACCTGGTACCATCCGGCAAACGCTCGAGCAACCTGGCGCGAGTTCCGGTGAGCCCACTGGGACTCCAGCATGCGATGAGTGCACCGGTTTTCGTCGACGTATTGCAGCCACACACAAAAGGCCATTCGTCGGACGTGGTGCTTCATCTGGGTGCGGAACGTGTGGACGACGGCAGCGATGAGTTTGCGTTGCTTCCACTCACGCCAGAACCGCGCTCGGCGGCGAAACTGCACGGCCGCCGTCACAGTCTTGGCTTCTTGCGCCGACTGCTTGGCACAGCTACAACGGTACTATAGTCCTAACAAGCCCCAGAGTAAAGTAACGACACGATCGTACTAGCGCCACGTATGCAGGTAGTGACCATGCAGCGCTGCGGTGAACAGTCGCGGCAGTGTCGTCTGAAGCATCTGCACCCGACGACGCACGGCTACATATGCCGACCAGACCCGCCACGTCGTGCGCGTCATGGTGCGATGGACGTGCTAGACGGAGAATTATATTCATATCGCGATCGATTTGAAATCGACGGCTTGATCGATCAAGGGAGTTTGTTTACTTGAAGCACGGTGGCGGTCACGATGTGGTGGTGTTGGCGAGTCGCAAACCACCGGCGCCACTGTGCGACACCGCGGGCCGTTGCATGGTGCATGGCTACAGCGTCACACCGTACGGCAAGTTCCCGTCCTTGTCGTTGGGTGCTGCTAGTGTGTTGCCACTGCCGCCACGCCTACGAGTATCCATGTTGATTTGGAAGTATAACAGTCAAACGATTTGTCTGGGGAATAGCAGGCGGGGGGGGGGAGTAAGTATGTACCTCAAGAAGCACCCGACGCGAACGGTTGGTTGTCGTGCGTTCCAAGCCGAGCCGCTGACGGTGACGTTGACCTACAAACTGTCCCCACGATCGCAAGACCCGACAAAGGGCCACGTGTTGTTGCTTGCGACAGGTGTACGCATGCTCCAACGCTTGTAGCCATCGCTGCCACGTCCGTCGCGTCACGACATGCGCGTGGGCAGTTTGAAGTTGCCGGCGTTTGGGGCCAAAATGGATGGCCCACAGGCGCCACGCCAGGAAACAGCTCCGACGACGCCGAAGGGTTGCTCGATGCCACCTCCGTTGGACGTCGACGTTGCGAAGCGTACAGCGTGCAACGTCATGCATCCACCCACGCCACACTTTGGTCAGTGTCCAGCGCCGGAGCAATCGGTCCGACGCCAATTGGATCGCTCGATTGCGCCCGTGAAATGAATGGCTGAGGTTCATTTGGGTTTCATCGTCGGAGGCTGGCCACACGAGCTGGAGCCATCGCACCAACGCTTTGAATTGCACCGGAGGCAATCCTCGTCGTGGTTGTTGGTGGTGTGGGGGAGAAGACGCTTGTAATTGTCTAAGAGGTCATTGCATGCGATATCGTGATATTTATGACGGGTAGTTTTGCACCAAAGCGAAGAACGATATGGAAGAAGGATCATACCGATGGCGGGTGGCGCGCAGGTTCTTGGCCACCTTGGCCCAGCCTTCAAACGCACTTGCCAACACTCGAAACACATGAACGTGATGGTGATTGGGGTGGTCTACGGGGACGGCAACTTGAGTTCCTACGCAATGGATGCACACACTTGAGTTCTAAAGTTAAAGGGAAGAACACAGACTGGATTGCTTGAGCTCGTCGCGACGATGGTGTGGCGACGCCATGACGTCCAAGAAGCGATCGGTCGCCGTGGGGGACGACATCTAACGACCGTGGAATTCGACTTAGTCATCAACGAGTGCAACTAAGCGAGTAACGAGGACATACTGTTCCTTGCATGGACTGTACTCTCGAGACCTATGCATTCAAAGGATCGACTGGTGACGAAATGGGTAGAAGTGGATCTAGGCAAGGACGTACATGACGCGCCAACTTCTTCCACCAGTTCGGCTCTGGATCCATGGACAACGTGAGCACGAGCTGTTGCACGCGTCGGGACAGGTGCGGCTGCTGCGAATGCTCGGCAGCCTCCAACACTTGCAGAAGCGTCAGGTCCGTCCGGCCATGCGCCTTCTCGGCCCGACGGAGGATATGTCCGATGCGATCGACTATGTCGTACATCATTGCTTCTCCTATTCCTACTTGGACGCGCTTACCATGCTCCATCGACGTCGGTCGGAAACTTAGTTGTTCGAAAAGCGGTCGTCGTCGCGTCGTTTCAAGATTTCGAACGGACCAATCAAACATCAGAAAAGTGTTGATTTATTATATTAACCGGACTGCAACCACGCCATTTTGGCTTCTCGCGCTCGTCGGAGTTCATGCACGCTATGCAAGCCAACGTCATATGACTGATGAGAAGGCACATCTAAGGGAGAGTACCCATAAGAGCTGTAGTCTGGCGGGGGCGGCAGCGCCTGCCTTGGACGAGATGACAACCTCGAGTGGGACGAGAACGTGGCGGCTGGAGGCGACGACGGCGCACGATAATACTGCGATGGCATCATCGTACGATGCTTCATGTATCTGTGATAGTCAGGCTTGGTCGACCTTCTCGGCGAAGCGAGCACGTCTTCGTGTTCCCTGCTTGAATGGCCACCGTACATGTTATGCGATGTGACCGCAGCATGGCGGCGGAGGTCGCCATCGTCGTGGATGTGTTCGCTCTATACATACACACAAGAGGCCAAACCACCTACATCACCATGCTGCACACAACGAGGAGCAGGACGTACTTGGTTGTTCTTGTGTCTTGATGGACGGCCAGACGGATGATGGACACGTGGTCGCTGCGGCAAATCGTCGTCGTCTTCGTCCTACGTCAGGGTTGAACGAACGAGGCCCACAGTTTGCCACGTCGTACCGTGTCGCAGGTTTCGCGCACGAGCATGTCAAAGCGCAGCATCACGTCGGACGATTCGTCGTGTACGGACGGCGGGGGAAACACCCGCCACGTCGTCGGCTCGTCCTTTCCATCGCCGTCGCCTTCTTCTTCGTCGTCATTGGCATTCAACCCTCCGTGCCACAGCTCGCACCCCGTTCGCCCCATCACGCGCGCCTGCACCCCCATTTTGTCAATCAGGTTACATATATATATATCACTTTCGTCGCCTAGTGCAAACTCGACTGTCTCATGGAATCAGGTTGTCGTTTGTACGTACGCGCGCATTGGCCTCGTCCCGTCGCGCCTGCTCCGCCTGCTGCGTGGCGACTTGCAATTCGGCGGCCGCCTTGGCCTTGGCCGCGTTCATCACGACTTGCAGCGCGTCCTTCTCTTGCTTTTCCCGCTCGTCCAAGTTGAGGCTACGCCCAGCCAGTCCATCCAAACTGAAATTAGTGTGACAGAGATACACATTATTTACCGATGGCGCAGCGTATACATGGCGACACTGAGGTCTTCGACAATGTCTTGGGCCGATCTCTTCATATCCACGTCGTACATGCTGTCTTCTTCTTCTTCGGCCATCATTTGATTGGTGTCCACGGGCGATGGGAGGTCACGATGTTGTCGCCCCTCGTCGATATCAACATGTGACATCGTGTCTAGTCGATCTGGGATATGCAACCGAGCTTGAATCGCCTGGCTTTGCTCTGTCGCATGCGCTTTCACTCGCTGCAAACGATCTAAAAGCGATTCCACATCAGCATCATCAGGAGCAGCGTCTTGCAGGCCGAGCGCGGTCGGGCTAAACAGCACGGTGGACATGACAGGGGAGAATGGGGCCGCCGCCTAGATGCGTGTGTGATTGTCACGTATAGTAGACAAAGGCAATGTATGCATCTATGCTGACCATCCATTTTGAACGACTAGTAAGTACTACTAGTATACTATTATGGATCTATGAGATACAGCGAGTTGCAACATGTACCAAGTCGACGCGAGACAGGATGGCGCGCAACGCACGGTCGTCCGACACGATTTGGGAACGCATCATGTGATCCAGCTGCGACGACGTTGCGGCCTCCGATGCCTACAGCAAGAAGCATCATAACAAACAAGTTGGCTGGCATGATGAAGGAAGCATGCAAAGCAAACGACCTGCTCGAGGCGGTCTAGGATCGGCCACAGTTCCTTGTCGGTCGTAGCGCCATGTGTGTGGACGACGTGGACGGCATGCTTTGCATCTCCTTTGCCAATCTACTCTCCAAATGAAGTAGAGGCAATACACAAGGAATGACCAGTGAAGGCCGTACCTCGGTGGAGGTGGGACGCTGCTGCTGGGTCGGGGACGACTCGGCACTGTACCCCTGGACTTTTTTTGTGAGCAGATCAAAGGCCGCCGCGAGCTCCGACGCCACCGTCAACGCCGACACCGGCAATGGCGGCGCGGCGCGGGCGTCGTCTTCTTGCGCTTTGGCTTCGTCGGCCAGCTCGCGCGCATTCCGCGCGACAAACCCAGACAGGACATGCGTCATGTCCTTGTCAATGTCCACAGCAGTCTTTCGAATCACATCTGCCGTCGACGGTGTCACATGGATCTCCCTTGCCATGCTGTTATCCTATTATGCGTACTTGTATGATTATTCTAGGAGCGACACGATTGTACCGAGCGCGGCGGAGGGTTGTTGTGTTGCTGGTCCAGCATCATCAATGCAATCTGTTCGTCCAAGCGCTCGCGTGGGGGCACCACCTACTGTCGTGGATCAGACCACACGACAGGAAGGAAAAAGATGGGATACTGGATAACGACTATGGCGGGGAGGCGGTGGAACCGGCGACACTGCTCGCCGTTGATGGTGACCACGAGGGATGGTCGATGATGATGCGGATATGCGCGGGGGACGAGACGGATGTGACATCGGGGTACCCTTTGTGGGCAGTATCGAAGATGGCGACGTTCCGTTTGCGTGGCGGTTGTGAACAAGTTGATTGAGTGCTTCAATATCATCGTCGACATCGGCATGTGGAGTCGGGGAAGATGGACGTGAACGATGGACATCGGCAGCATCATGTCGTCGTCGCGGGGACAGGACATGCAGGGGGTATCCATGGCGGAAGCGTTCGATCAAACCTTCCACAGAAGTGTCGCTTCCATCGTCGCTTGCCATGGTAATAATTCAAGTAGAATGACAGTTACAAAAGTGCATTTTGCAATTAACATATTATTTATTAGAATATCCAAAACAGGGGAATGTAATGACGGGGGAAGCGCTCGACGATGATAAGCAGGACAACCGCGGAGAAGACAAACATGCCTGCGGCAATCCACACCTTGTCCATGTACGCTTGATGGTCGAGTTCCTTGAGGAGTCGCTGGGTTTGCTTGAGTTTCTCTTTCACTTCTGCATACCGTTCGTGTGTCTTCTTGAGGTCGTTCGTGCCATCGCCCATGCGCCGCCGCACCTCCTCGGACAGTTCAATCTGCGCTCGCAATGCGCGATTCGTACGTTCCATCGACCGATGAACGTCTGCATGGGTCGCTTTCATCGATTCCGCCCGTACCTTGGGTATGTCCATGAGTTCATCGTGCTCTTGCTGAAGGGATCTCTGTCGCTGAGCTAGCAGCCATTGCTTCAAGAGGGTTTCCGCACGTGCCTTCTCCCTCGCCCACTCAGCTTTATGGTCTGGGTCTTCATCAATCCGTTGTGTCAGCTTGTTGATCGCTACTTGCAAGCGTTCCTGGATTTGCGAAGCTTCCTGCGAAGCGATCGCCGCTACCGCCGTCTTGTCCCGCAGCAGGGCCGCCACGCGCTCAAACAACGGTTGTCCCATGATGATTGTGTCAAAATCGCCAAATTAACTGTTAGTTTCTTTCAAATTCCGAATGTTGAAAGCGAAGTATATATCGAAACATACCGATATATCAAAGACGACATAGAAAGCTTAGTACTGGGTTTGGGGAGTTCTATTTCCCGGATAATATATCCGGATAAAGATTTCAATTTGTGGTTTGAAGGACAGTGGCACCGCGAGGAGGGGCTCATTTTGGTTTGGAAGTCATGACTGGCCCCGCTACTGCCGCTGTGCCGCACCCCACGACTGTGGGCAACACGTTTGTCAAGCAATACTACAGCTTGCTCACGGGCTCCCCTGAAAAGCTCCATCGCTTTTACAAGGAAGAGAGTACGTTCAGCCATGGCCTTGGGTCGCATCCGGAAGAGTCTGTGTCTGGTCAAACGGCCATCAACAGCACGATTCTCAAGAAGCACTACAGCGGCGCCGTGGTGCATCTCGACCATGGTTCCATCGACTGTCAAGGGAGCCAACAGGGGGGAGTCGTAGTGTTGGTCACGGGTGTGATCACGCTGCAACGCAGTGCACCGTCGCACTTTGTGCAATCGTTCTTCCTTGCCGTCCAGGAAAACGGGTACTTTGTCTTGAACGACGTATTGCGTATCCTTAGCATTCCGTCGGCAAAGCAGCAGCAATCGCCTACGTCTCCTACCAAGAAGGCGGCGCCGGCGCCGTCGCCATCCAAGGCCACGCAGACACAGGTCAAGGAAGCTGTCAAGTCGCCCAAGCATCAACCCGCGCCTGCTGCCGCTGTCGCGTCCCCTCCTTTGCCTGCATCCAAGGCCCCTCACGTCGACACCGCCATCCCCGCGCATGTCCTGTCTCCCAAGCACGCCCCTGCTTCGCCCACGAAGAAGCCATCCACCCCTAAACCGTCGACTCCCAAGCCCACCGCCGCCTCCGCGACGGCTTCCCCCGTCGTCGCCGTCGTCCGCGATGAAGCCAAGACGTCGCGCCCCACTTCGCCCAAGAAGGAGTAAGTTGTTGCCTCGTTACCATCACATGGGAGTGACTTGTCGTTATAGACATTCGCCCAAAAACAACAAGCCCAAGCCAACGGCCAAACCCGTCAAGCTCGACGACGAAGGTGAGCAAGCCGTGACCCCCGCCGACTCTGGCGCGCCCAAGAGCTGGGCCTCTCTCTTCGCGAGCAAGAAAGTGTCGGCGGTCGCGGCCGTGGCGTCGACAAAAGTGGAATCGCCCCGCAAGAAGCAGCAGACTGCAGGAGCGACCCCTTCGTGGGACGACGAACCCGCCGCCACTGCCGGCGCGGTGCCCCCGCCTCCTGCGCCGGCCGCGTCCTCCTCGGGCAAGCCCGCTCGACCAGTGTACTTTAGCCTGTTTATCAAACAAGTGCCGGCTACAACCACGGCCAACGACCTGAAGGACTTGTTCGGCTCGTACGGCAAGATCGGGTCCGTCAACGTGCTCGAAGGCAAGGGCCATGCATTTGTGGACTTTTACGACGAAGAAAGCGTCAAGAACGTGCTGGCGGCGTTGGCCGACGGCGTCCAGTTCTCCGTCCACGACCAAGTGCTTCATGTGGCCGAGCGCATCGCCAAGGACAAGGCGTCGTTCACCAGTGGTGGCCGCGGAGGCGGACGGGGCCGAGGGAACAGCACCGACTACCCTGCCGGCGGACGTGGCGGCGGCGGGCGAGGTGGACCCTTCAACCCTCGACCCAAAGACGCGGCTGGTCGACCCAACGGCACCGCCCCCGTGGGTGGGCGCGACAACAAATCCGGAGGCCGAGGCGGCCGTGGCGGTCGCGGATACACCCCCGCCGCCAATTAAGGAAGTAGATCAGACGAATAGGGACATACCATGGGTCTTGTTAAGACGCTGTAACCATAAGCTAACGTGAAAAGTTGCCCAGCTAGCTAGCTAGCTACATTGCGAGAATCGTGCACGATCGGAGGCACCCAACAGCGCCATTGATTATGCGGAGATAGCTTGCATCATACGTATACGAAGCGTTTAGTTCATGCAGGGATGGACACGTGCCTTTGTGCCTGCCTGCATCTCGTTCTCCATGTAATGTTGTTTCCTTTGGCGACCATGGATCCACCGCCGCGGCGGCCGCAAGATGATGCATTCTTAACGAATTTATAATATTACACAGGTCCGATTGAACATACAAACTACAAGGTAACTTTGGTTAAATGAAAAAAATATGAACATTTTCAACTAACTTGAGTCTGGTATAGGATACAACGATCAAGTGAATTTTGTCGAGTTCCCAGCGCCACGCTTCGCGAAATTCCGAAATGGACGGCCCCAACCTGAGCTCGACAGCGCAGCGGGCCCAAGCACACTTCGCGTAATGTTCATGTGTCATGGATGCATGCGTGTGTATAGGAAGAGCGAGGGAGACGCTTCTTTTCCATGGACATGCACCCGAGACAGGAATGGGGTCTGAGCAACCTGTGCTGCTTTTAGGGCTGGCAAATACCTCGACGTTGTGGAACTGTTGACGCAGCTGAGCTCGTGGGAAGATCGAGGCAGGTCGTCTCATGACGACAAGAAAGGAAAGGACAAGAACAGTAGCGGCGGCAACGGCGGGCCGATGAAGACACGGGTGCAGCACAACCTAGCGCTGTCGCAACTGTTGGCGGGGAAGACCAAATTCAGCGACTTTGAAAGCGCCGTGCTGCATTTGCTGTCGGAGATGCAGGTGTCGGTGTCCCAGATGCAGCAGCAATCGTCCGACCAGTCGAGTGTGTTGGGGATGAAGACGCGCAAGGACAACAAGTACTGGGAAGACGACCAGCTCCTCGAGTTCGACGGACAGGCCAACCGACCCCACGGCAGCTCCATCTTCAGCGGCGTCAACTTGTCGTTCCAGACGCTGGCCATGGAGCGCGACGCGTCGCTCCTGCGCTACAACTTGGCGGTGGTGTACTTTCGTCAGAAAAAGTACGCAGCGGCCGCCTCCCTCTTGGACGTGTTGTTGCGCGCGATCGAGCCCATGGACGAAAACGTGGCGATGCACATTTGCTTCCTCTACCTGGACGTGATCTTGCACAGCAGTCGAAGCAGTTCCGTCACGGAAGCGGCGGCGCCGTCGTCGGCGCTGCGCCAAAAGGCCGACGCGCTGGTATCGTATCTGGAGAGCCCGCACATGTTCAACGGCCTCGTGCCGCTGCCCGTATCTGACAAGAAACCCACCAAGGCGTCCGTGGCGGCGGCGACGGCACACGACGCGCACGTGGTCGAGTTCAAGTTCCGCCTGCATCTGTACAAGTCCAAGCTTGCGTTGTTGCATGACAATCTGAAGGGCGCTAAGAAGGACGTGAAGACTGCCATGGAGATCTTCCAGCGCGACATCAAACCGGTCAAGGGCGACGGCGTGGCGGGGGTGTTGGCGCCGATTGTCGGCGGCATCGGGTCCATCTACGTCCCGCCGAGCACCGCCTTCCAGAACTCGTCGGCGTTGTTCTTGAAGGCGCAACTGGAGTACCTTCGCCGGAATTTTAAAAAATGCATCAAGCTGGTCGCGTCGTGCAAACAACAAGCGGTCGACGAGGTACATACCATGCTCATGTTCTTCTATATATATATGGGTTTTGCTTTGCTTGATTGGTGTATTCTTCTTCGGCAATATGTAACAGGGTCTAGATATATTGCCATTTTGGCTAAAATATGGACTTGTCAAGAATTGATTTGGTGTCAGATTTTAAAAGTTTACTCCATGTATGGTATACATATTTAAAAGAATGTACTTTTTGGTGGGGCCAAACTATAATGATCGATGATTGGTTCAAATGTCCAAATAAGTGTCATTTGATTGGCTAGTCCATTATACATTTGCCTTTTTCCTTTGACTGTACTGGGAATGCCAAATTGGATGGATAAGAAGGAATGTGAATGTTTGTATCGATAGGACGTCCAATACCATTCTTTGATTGTTTGAATATTGTGCAACAAAGCGAGAAAACAAGTATGATTGGCTCGAAAGAATGCAGGTTGCCACATGATTGGCTAAACAGATTGAATGTGCACATAATATCTTTCACTTCGTTTGATATGAGGTGTCGCCAGAGGATATTTGGAGTATAAACACACTATATAATATGCTTGTTATGGTAGTCGCTGTTCCTCAACAATTTGGGATGCGTCCATTCGCAGCTGGGGCACCACCAAGCCGCGCAATCGTACTTTGCCAAGGCACTCGAAGCCACGTCATCGTCGTCATCCCGGTCGAAAGCGGCCGCTTCGAAAGCGACCACCGCCGCAGACAACACTGCCCACCCATTGGCAGTACGTAGTTATGGAATCCTTTCTTGTGCTTTTACCCCAACATGTTGGCCATTTGTGTGCGGATTCACCAAATCGATCGATCGATTCGTGACTAGTGTAACCATCGTCGAGTGTCGTCACACTAATTTCAGTCACACACGACCATTCAATGTTTGAATAGGTTCAGTGGATTTGATTGGCTACTTGATTCTTCTATCTGGGCGTTGATTGGTCGTATATCGATTGTATTTGGTTCTCATATACTCCCCCACTCCCATTTCGAATCGACAATCTCTAACACGTGATGTGTAGAGTTCGGCCCAGGCAGAGATCTTGTACAACAATGGCCTGCAGCTGCTCGTGCTCAAAAAGTACGCGCTGGCGTTTCGGTGCTTGCATGCTGCGTCCAAGCTCATGTTCAATCGCCCCAAGCTGTGGCTTCGGCTGGGCGAGTGCTGCACAGCGTCGTATGCGGCCCAGGTACTTAGTAGGAAGAACAAACCACTGGATGGAATATGTTGCGTGATTAATGCTTGTCGATGATCGAGTCCGTCGTTGGAATAGTTATGTCGTTGTACCCCTCGATCGATTCTTTGTACGGACTTTTGTGTGACGGATCGTCCAGTTTCACACTAATTTCAGTCACACCCGACCATTCAATGTTTCATTGGTCGAAGTGGGATGATGTGATTGGCTACTTGATTCTTCGTATCTCGGTTTAGATTGGTCGTATATCGATTGTCTGCGGATTTGGTGATTCTGCTCCTCATACTCGATTGAGAGAGCCCCCCCCACTCCTATTTTACAATACCTACCATACATGGACCTAATATGATTCTGGTGGGGATAGCGGGAAACCCTGCCCTCTGAATACAAGAACAGCCTCGTGAGCTCCGTCGTAGGGCACGGCGCCCACCGCCGCGTGGTGCTGCCGACTCGTCCCCCCACAGAGGACGTGGCGGCGACCTCGGCGGTGGACAACATGGCGTCTCTAACGTCCGACGGTACGGAATGCTAAAACAGACAGGTTGTTGTTGTTGCTCATGATGATGGTAGTGCCGACGTTGAGCCTCCCGTTTGCGGTCAAGTGTTTTCGCAACGCGTTGCTTTTGAGCCAGCAAGTGCTGGAAACCACATCCAAACCGCGAGAGGACACTGCCGAGTTGACGCCCGACAGCAGCGGCGTGTCGCTGGAAGATTCGCTAGAGTTGTTGCGGCAAAAGGCCTTGGTGAACCTCGCGTACGCATACTTGAGCATGAACGCGCCGGAACTGGCCATCCACACGGCCAAGGAGCTGCTCTCGATGCCGACGTGCACCCCTGCCCACCGGTAAGACGTCCATTTTGGTCAAGAAGTCTGATGATGCTGCCTCTGTGGTAGGTTTCTGGTGCGGTCGTATTATGCCGAAGCGCTGTGTCTGCTGTCGCGGTCGGCGGAAGCATCGGTGCATTTGAAACTGAACGACATGTTGAGTTTGGCAGACGCGTATGCGCGGGAAGCCAAGGCGGACACGGCCGCTGTGCACGCGAATTTGCACGTGAACAACGCCACCGTCGCCATCTTGCAGGTACCATTCGTGTGATGTTGTCTCTATGGGAATCGTTTGTCTATATGGGAAAGGATGATTTAACACAAATTGGACAGAAAAACATGCCCCAGGCCGAACAAAGCGTGGCCCAAGCAGTCCGACTGGCGCCGACATCGCGTCACTCGCTCGAGCTGTTGGTGTACATCTTGCTGAGGAAAGGACATTCGAACAAGGCGATGCAGATCCTCAAGGAAGCCCGCGTCGTCACGTAGAGATAATGGCAACATGAGTAGGCGTCAACGAACGGTGTTGCTTGATGGACACACACACCACATGGAGAATGCATGATTCGATCGGGGAGGGGTCCGACCTGAGGTAGTACCGTTCTAGCGTGGCTCTGGGTTAGAGATGAGTTGTCGGCCACACTTGGATGTTCTGTCCCTGCGTCGCTGCTAGTCGTCCGTCCCTGCGTCGCTGCTAGTCGTCCGTCCCTGCGTCGCTGCTAGTCGTCCGTCCCTGCGTCGTCGACTTCTTCGTCCGGTACGGGAATTACGCGCGAAACCCAAGTTTTGTGAAAGATTTGTCCGGATACGGCACGAATTCGAATAAATCCGGATATTGATTCCTGTGATTGGCTGGTGCAATGCATCTTGTCACCAGAATCGCTGTTCCCAAGCGCGCGGACGAGACGACACTGCAGGCAGGCAAGGCCATGACATTAGGAAGCTCGTCATCTCATGGAATGTCCATGGAAGCAGTCGCTTCGGCGCGGGGTTTTGAGCTTCTCACCCGCTGCGTGTATGTTCCTCCGCTCATGCAACCGTCGGTCACGGAAGCTGAACCGTGCTTTTGCAGCTCCACAGACTCGTCGGAAGTTGCATGCCATGACACTGAATGCATTAACTATGCGACTTACGTGGAATGTCCGTTGGATCGGTGTCCGACAGGTCGTGGATGCCGCAACCAACGCTTGCAGCGTCCCGACCTGTTTCCACACCTCGAACCGTTCCAGACTGAGTTCAAGGGATATGGCGTCCGCACGACTGAACGCGTGCGTGCGCTTGATCCTGTCGGCGAGTACGTCGGCGAGATCATTGGCCAGAAGGAACTCCTCCGTCGGACCAACGGACTCGGGCGCATGGAGACCAACTTCTACTACATCCAGATGTCGAACGGCGTGTACATCGACGCGCGTCACCGCGGTGGGTTCACGCGCTTTGTCAACCACAGCTGCAACCCCAACTGCAAAGCCGAAAAGTGGACTGTGGGTGGCGAGACGCGGCTGTTGGTGTTTGCGCTGCGGGAGTTGGCGCCTGGGGACGAAATCACATTCGACTATCAATGGACGCTCCTCGGCCGGCAACGCATCAAGTGCGACATGCCCCCCACTCTCTTTGCGTGTTTCGCTTTTCTCTAACAACGAACCACTCCATGCGTAGATGTTTCTGTGGCGAATCCGTGTGCAAAGGATTCATTGGCGGCGACGTCGAGAAAAACCCGACCGACACTCCCGACGGTGTGTTCCAAGATCCGACAGACGCCGACACCGTCGACGAGTACCTCGTGGGTCGAACGCTGCGGCTGTTCAATCCATCCAGCGGCGACGGCAGCCACTCGTTTTCGATCGTTTTGGTCAAGAGGTACGTACACTAGTCGCGCGATGCGAATCCTTCCATGACGTCTCCATCAGTATTGTAACTCCATCATCCGCTTGTAGCTACGACCCAAATACCCGGGAGCATACCGTCGTGGACGCGCCTCCGTCCATGGACCAAACTTCGACCTCCCCTCCTTCCACCCAACGACGTCGGCGCCGCCCGACCAACCGATTCGACAAAGACGACAGCAGCAGCGACGGCTGCAGTAGCAATAGTAGCAGTGACGACGATACAATCTCTCATCGCGGCGGCGGCAGGGATGAGGTCGATGGAACAACCATGCGACAGGTGTCGCTGTCGACCCTCCAGTGGCAACTCTACATTGATTTGCGCGGGTTGAGTGCCGACGACGTCCAAAAGGCGGTCTTCTCCATTCCCAAGGTAGATGTACACGATACCTTGAAACCTTTTTGGATTCCATCAATGTGTAGCTGAACCGCCCGCCGCGACGGCCACACCTGGCAAACGCAACCCCCTTGTCCGCGCCGGCGTCGCCGCTGTACCTGACTCCGCCGCGTCCATCGACGCCGCTCTCCTCGTCCGCCGCCACACGACCTCCGACGTTCAAGCTGTTGCTCAAAGGACTGTCCCCAGAAGTAAACGCGACGATGCTTCGACGGCTGCTCGGCAGCCACGCCGACACGGTCGTGGCCATCGATCTATTCTTCCTCGACACGTCCAACTTTGGGCACATCGGGTGGGCTCTGCTCGAGCTCTCGGACCCGATCGTGTTTGAAAAGATGCGCTCGCGGTTCGACAACAAACCGTTCGTGGGCAACACCGTCGTGCGGTCGTTTCGGGCTACAGACCAAGGCATCTCGAGCTTTTATCGGGTCAAAGAGACGACGATCCGGCGTAAACATCTCGTGTCCACCACCGACCCAAAGGGTACGTCGTCTCGGCCGTCGTCCGCCACGGGCACGCGTCCCCCTCCCCCCCCTCCCTCTCTTTCCAACTCGTCGCGCCAGCCCCCGCGTCGTCCGGGGGACGGCAGTAGCCCCACCACGAATGACCACACTTCTAATCCGTCAATGTCGATTGCTTCGGAAATGTACTGCATTGGCCGCAAACTCAACTGGGTCGTCGATTCGTCGTCACTTCGTCCTTTGGTGTCGCCGTCGCGCAAAGCCGGCATGTCGGCGTCCGTGGAAGCGATGCTCCAATCCAAATGCACAAAGATCATGCTCAACGTGGTCAAGATGCTCAAATTCAATCGCGAAGACGCGTCCACGGCCATCGTCCTCTTCCACCGGTACGTGAGCGTGCACCCCATGAACGTGTCGACTGTCGAATGGATGGCGGCCACGTGTCTCCACGTCGTGCTCAAGTCGCACTCGCGGTCATTGGACTGGCCCGCGTTCGTCACGGCCGTGTACGCGGCCAAGTACCACGGCGGTGGCTCTTCTTCCGCGGCCCAGCCGTCGGCCGACGAGCTCGAGCGGGTCGAGCACCATGTGCTGTCGATGGAGGCGGCGCTACTGGACGGTCTTCGCTACGACATCAGCTCCACCGATCCGTTTGCAATGTTGGACGCGTGCTTTCGTGGCGGCAACCTCGACGACGACAACCGCGCACACAAGTTTGGCAAGCGGCTCGTGTCCGACTCTCTCACGGCCACGTCGTTGTGGACGCACTTCCCCGTCGAATGCCTCGTCGTGGCGGTGCTGTACATTGCCAGCGCGACCGCCGTCTCGGCCAACCCGAACGCGGACATGCCGCCCCCGCCGCCGTACCTCCCGCGCTTGCCGCGGTCGCATCGGCACACGTTTGACGCCGCCGTGGCGCCGCTGCTGACGCTCTTCGAGGCTACCCGATGCACCGACCTCCCCCGCTCGGTGCTGGAAGAACGCATCCGACACTTTGTCGATACCCAAGACGCCAAGGACATGCCTGCGATCTACTTTGAGCCGTCGAATTGGCCGTCCGCGTACCTGGCGTGGCAGTCGAGTCACCAGGCGGTCCAGCTGACGGCCACTCACATGGAGAACGTGGTCGCGATCCGACGGCGAGCATTTGTGGCCCGCATCAAGGCGGTGGGGGTGCCGTGGCCAGACTTGGCGGGTCGACCGGTGTACCTGCAGCCGTGGCCGTACAAGCAACCGCATCATGCGACAAGGGGCATGCCCGAAGCGTGTCTGCGGGAGCTGTCCACGCTGGTCAACGTCCACGCCCGCGACACGGCGCTGTTTGTGACGCTGATCGGGATTGTATTTCCCACACAACCACAGCGCGTGGACGACCTCCTGGTGTTGCCGTCACCGTCGAAACCCAACAACAATGATAATGCGATCGACATGTTTACAGACTTGTTTCCTGGCGAAACAGCCGACAGAACGATGCCGCCCATATCCACCGCGAAACGACCTGTCGTCAAAGCCTCCACGAAATCCAAATTGCTCCAGGTTTGAATGATCTGGCTTTCAACATATGTGACACTGTCTACGAGATCGGGATCTCGGACGAGGTGGTTTTGTGGCGTGTGATATATTGTGCTTTCGAGTGAAATTACGTGTTGTGGTGTGGTTTCTCGTTGGAATTTGAATCGATTTGATTGGCTACTTCAGATGAGCTCAAAATTATTAGCCAATCAAAACCTTCTAAATGAAATTCAACCAATCAGATCGATTGTGGATCGGTTTGGTCGGCGCGATTCGATTGCACCCCCTCCCCAAATTTGTATCAAATCGACAATATATATATATATATATATACTACTTACGCCTCCTGCATGAAGTAGTATTGATATTTTTTTATATAGATAGTATTTTTTATTATTAATAGTATGCATTAAAGATAGATTACCATGATCAAATTTCTTGTTTAAAATATAGGAAACAAGAATCAAAGCAAAACCAAAATCTATTAAAATATTAATAAGTTCTTGTGTTTCTAATTTTTAATATTTTAATATAATTAAAATCTATGAATAGAATATTTCCTTTTCGAAGAGCATTAGCATAATATTCTATTTGAAAAAGACTTTTTACTTACAATTGTCTAATCATCTAATATGGGTTGGTTTTGCTTTTGGCGTAGGACGACATGCACTACCTCGTGTTTGAACGCCCGCTGCACATGCTGTCGACGCTGTTGGAATCGACGTCCGACGCGTCCATCATGTCGTTTGCCACTCGAAAACGCATCGTGTTCAACCTGTTTCGCAGTGTCGCAGTGTGCCACGAACACAACATTGTCCATCGGTTCATATCCCCGTCCAATAGTACGTCGTCTCATATTGTCGATTTGATATACAAATTTGGGGAGGGGGTGCAATCGACCAAACCGATCCACAATCGAACTGATTGGTTGAATTTCATTGAGAGGGTTTTGATTGGCTAATAATTTTGAGCTTATCTGAGGTAGCCAATCAAATCGATTTAAATTCCAACGAGAAACCACGCCACAACACGAAATTTCACTCGAAAGCACAATATAGCATAGTCTACTTTTGTCGATATGTGTTTTGCAAGTGATCAAGTCGTGCTGGCAGTGTGCACGACTCGTACTCTTCTATCCATCCATATATCTATCCTTGTCCATCCTTATCTATCTTTCCATGTTGCCGTAAAATCGTGTGCTAGAAATGCCATGCACGTTCGTAAGTAGGCATCGCACTCTCACACACTGTGCGTTTTGTCACTAGTGTTTGTTTATGACCACCAAGTGAAACTGGGGGGCTTTTCCTGTGCCCGACACGTCGACATGAAAGGCGCGCGCACAAGCGGGTACGCCTTGTCCGCCAGTGAGGTCCACGAGCACATGTCTGGGTCGGCACTGCACACGACAGCCCCCGAGATTCTCCTCGGCGACAAAGTGTACACCAAGCGAAGCGACGTGTGGAGTCTGGGCGTGGTGGGGCTGCACATCCTCCTGCACGGCGCGCCGCTGATCGTCGGCAAGGACGCGCCCAAGCAGCTCGAGTATCTGTACCGGATCTGCGGGTCCCCGCGGGACGACGTGTGGCCTGACGCGATGCACCTGCCCCAGTTTGTCCGCCCCAAGCACAACTACCACACCCGACTGCGCAAGGTGATTCTTGAGCGCATGCCGGTGTTCCCGGACGCAGCGATCGAGTTGTTTGAAAACTTACTCGCCCTCGACCCCAAGCGCCGGTGGCCCGTGCGACGCGCGCTCACGGCGCCGTGGTTTGCCGACCAACTGCTCGACGAGAATGGTGGGTCCATGGACTTTACGATGATTCCGTCGACGGTCGAGACGATTGGTGCATCGTCAGCTCCCAAACAAGACAAAAGCGCCAAGAAACGAAAACAACGGCACGACGCCCCGCCAACCCGCCCCCACCGCAGTCGCCGCCCTTCTCGCGAACGTCCAAGCAGCTAGTTGGAACGTGGGGCTGCCACGTCACCACCACTTATACGCTGGGTGAAATGAATACAATCCTCAGAGTCGACGAGGAACGAGATTGTATCCTAATCCAGTCTTGGGATGACAGGAGACGACAGTGGTGCATATAACATGAGAATAGTACGACGTGCGAGATGGGAGTTTGATTGATTAGACGACACACATGCCGCGGGTATGGAGGTACTTTTTCTTGGCGGGTAGCGTGCACAGTGTCGCAGACGGGGTGAACTGATGCTCCTCCATGTCGCCCATCGTTTCAACCCACCCGGGCGCTACGAGCGCCGCGACCAGCGCGTAGATGGTCACTACGTGGCACGACTCGACGCGGCCGATGCCGTTGCGAACCGTGTCGCGGTCCACGACGGTCGCAAACCCGACTGTGGCAAGCGTACTACGCAGACAGAGTGGACACTTGAGACATGTGAAATACTTCATTGACATGGTGTCGCATATGTGACGACGCACCTTGGTCGCATGTACATGTCGTGGCCGAGTCGGATGGCGACGCTCGGCTCGAGCGGCAGCGACGTGATGAAGTTGGGCATGTTGGCTTGCCGCAGGAACGAATTGTTGCGGCACCACGTCGTGTCGATTAACAAACTAAAAACCCACACACCCGAAAAGAGTCAAAAGGCAAACTCTATCGGAAGCTACCGCAATATATTATATATATATATATATATATATATATATATATGGCAAGGATTGCATGGTAGGATTTAACATGCACAAAACACACAGATGAAACGAATGCACGACCGAATCAACGACAAGGAAGCATATGACTTTGAGATGATCGATATGCACGTCAACCAGGTTGCATCGATACAAGTAAATACAGTCAGACACACACGACCGAGAGTTGATCCTCCTCAAGGACGACACGTGTCGTAACTACTGGTTGGTTTCGTACGAGTGGTGTTGAAGGGCTCGGTACACCGTCATGACGAGAATCGACGCGGCAAACGAACCGACGACCGGGTAAACGATCTCACCCACGAGGTACGTGAGCACGACCGGCGTGCCCGTGGCCACATACGACCCACTTGGCCACGTCGCGTTGTTGATCCACAGCCCTACCCAACCATGCCATGATCATCATTATTATGATTATTATAGAATCCAACTCGTGATGACGATGCTCTTTGGGTGGTTTCATAGCACGTACCCAAGTACGGGTCGGCGGCGTAGAATTTGTTGGCCGCGGTCTCAAACGCAGAGTTCTTGCAGCAGGCTGCTGTGACGGTGGCAATCGACGTAAACAGGAATAGCGGCGCAGAGTACCCCACGCACCGATTGTGCCATCGACAAGGAATCAAATCCACGATGCTATGGCAAATTGCATCGTTGAGAGCCAGTCCGGTTAATTACCTCATCAACGGTGTCGCACGTACGACACGACGAGAAGCCACCCAAGCGAAAAGCACGTGGCCGTGACGACCGCCGACAGCGCCCACAATTGCATGCCGTTGGACGTAAAGTAGTATATCCGCGCCACGTCCAAATACAGGACGCCCGGCACCGAGTTTAGGATCAGGCACAGTAACAGCGCCTGTAGGTTATATATAAATAAATATAATATATCACATCTTTTTCAGCAGGAAGTAGTGTGTGAGTTGCGTATACCTTGCGTCGTTCGAGGCCGGCCACAAAGTTGTAGGTCATCACGTGCTCGCCCGTAACGAGACCCCGAAAGCCTTTGATTTGCATGATTTATGACGATAGATTGTATCACGATGACTTGATACCTTCCAATGTGACGTAAATGTCGCCCGTGAGCAGGCACAGTGTGAGCAGTGTCAACACGATTTGGATAGCCATGAGTTCGTTTGCGTTGGCCACGCGATGGCCGCAGCGCCAGCCTGGCACGACGGGGAGCTGCGAGTGCTTTCCTAAGATGGCACATGTACATAGCCGTTTGAAGTTGGACCAAACAATGCCATCCCACCTCGACTCCATCCAGACAGATGCAAGTCCACGCGGAGCTTGCTCAACTCTTCAATCTCTGTCACACACATCCCCGTGACTTTGTACCTACATATTATTGTCACCTCCGTCACCATCATCGTTGATATCTCGGATTACCGTGCGCTAAGTGGATACGCGTTTATAATGTAATCTTGTCCAAGATCGTCCTTCTCGATCTTGCCCGTGCCCGTCACAAGGGTGCGCTTGGGGTTACTCATTAGATTTTGGGTCGTGCCGTCGGAATTGGTGCTTGTCGCCACCGTCTGCTGACAAACATGTCAGGTACGTACGTCCTTGCACAAAGATTGGCCTCACCATCGTAACGTCCAGGTCACTGTACAACGTGACGAAGTACAGCCCCTCGACGTGGTTGTCACGAACTGTCGTCTCGAGCACAGCCATCCCGGCCACATCTTGAGGGGTCGACGGGAGGCACTCGGGAAAGTAGTCGTATCTACACACAACAACCAGTCGATCTACAGCTGAAAAGTTCTCAAGATTTCACCTACTACCCAAAACGTACCCTGCAATGAATTGAAGGTTGGCCCAACCTACGGCGGACGTGCCGCCCACCGCACATGTCGTCACGCGCAACACGCCCCCAGCTTCACATTGTCGACGATATAGCGTTATGGTGAAAGGAATAAACAAAGACAATCTCTATGAATACGAAGTACTACCTTCGCGCATTTCTGCCGTCCACTGCTGTGCCAACACAGTGCCGATGGCAGCCCACGCGGCGGCTGGTGCCACCGTGAGCTCGACGCTGCTACATCTACATCACCAAGTGGTATAATGATCGTTTCTTGGTGGAGAATGTTCTCGCGAAGTGTTCGGACACCCCATGAGTTGGACGTACGAGCTGGGAATAAACCCGCTTTTGTTCAAGAGGCAACTTTGACCATACGGAGCCCAGTAGTACTTGGTTGATTGTGCATTCACGGACACCACGAGTCGCTCGAACATGCCCTAAGGCCGTCGACATGGAGCATTGAAATCAAACCTCCTCATGGGACCTGTGCGGAATTGTATACCTGGGACACGAGTACAAGGAGGGTCAAGACAGAGAGCACAACCAAGAGCAAGCTTGCAACGAAGATCAGGACCCCAGGTATGATGTTTGTGACGAGGCGCTTGGTGGTGATGTCGAACCGAGAGACGGGGGGGTGATCCACCGACAGCGCGGCTTCAGATGTGTCACCTCGGATGGGCCGGCCACCGATGGAGCGGCGACTCTCCATCGTTCGGTTTGCCGACGGTGCTGCGCCGGACGGCACGACTTGCCATCCTCCTATGCCCATGCTCGGCATTGAACGAGCCCAAGATGGTGTAATGTGACACCTGACCACTCACGTCAATACGTTCTAAAAATAGATGCGAGCTAAAAGTAGCACGCAGCTCGCGCTTATGATGCATGTGAAATGGCAGGTTCGCACATGGTCCGACCACTAAATTACGAATGTCAACTTTGGCTGGCGATCGTTTCAAGCCACATACTAGTAGTATACAGCACGCTGCTAATACTGTACAGCCCAAGCATGCCAGGCTTCCCCTAGTGGCCAGAATACGGTGTCGTTGGAAGACTAAACCTACAGTTGTGCAGTTCAATCGACGAGTGGTACAATGTAGAGCCGCAACACTTCCACGCTCACATTGCCAGTCATCATCCCATCGCTTAGATCCTGTGGCACATATAGTAGCGCAGTGGCACCGACGAGGTGTCCATCGAGTGACGAGGTCCCCCGTTGCCTTGCCCACGAGAAGGCTCAGGTTCAAATGTCTGCCCTGTATAGATCGCCAAACCCCTCTAGAAGCGCCGCGGATGCGATGATGCCGACCCCCATGCGTGCTCCCCCCCGGCGCTTCCATGACGAACCAGTCCGAGGTTAGGCCAAGTGAACGCCATCCGCCGTGCGGTCCATCGTTCTCAACATCGTTTGCAGAACCCAACTGGGCAAAGTCATCATTTTCGATTCTCTTCCGTCGTCCACTCTGCTTGAAAGTGACCTTGATGCCGAGGACATTTCCCAACCAGATAAACGAGTGAGATTCGACAACGATGACTTAGTGGCATTCTGCTAACGCTAAAGTGGCGACTTTGGACGTTTCATAACCAGAACATTCAACCGACGGGACACATACAGCCGTCATTCGCGCTGGAAAGGTGCTCTCATCACGTTCCGACGCACGACGTACCAGCCACCATCAATTCGTCAACGGCGACGCGTCACGGTATGCTCCTACTGGAGCGCCACGACGCCATTCTATAATGAACCAGTTGGCCGCCGGCTGTGGCGCAAGTAGATCGTCTCGGTGACCTATGGACACACGAGTTGCCCATTGCTGTAACGGGATTGAGCATGTTCAACGTCGTTTCGAGTGCGTTGGATGGTCGTAGTCTCATGCTAACGTTGCGTTGATGGATGCACTTGCTTGCACCCATTCCGTGAGTCAAATGTTCGTGCACACAAGAATTAGGGAATCACAGGTAGAAATCTGGGGGACACACACGTGCATCAAAACACAAGGGAATTGACCTAGCGTTACAGCAGCGAGCGACGACAGAGCATCCGCCCACAAAATTGCGCGCACCGCAGCGCAGCGGAGGTCGTGTGTATATATCGGCGGCGCCATCGTGATGGCTTGGATGAGCACCAAGATGTCAACAGCGCCATAGAGCCAGAGAGCTGCACCGCGGACGAACATCACCACGATGCGTTGACGATAATGTGGACACTGCGCTTCTGGAAGAGCATGGCAGCCCTGTCCCTTAGCTGCTTTGCACTTGGGCTTCTTGGATACCGACCCAGCCTGTCGTCGAGGCAAGATACGATGCAAAGCACAGCGCCCATTCGAGTACATGGGCCGTCGTAGTATTGCATATACCTCCAGCTATTGAGCCACTGATCGAGTCCAGCTTCTGGAGAACCTGGATACCTTCCCCATCGTTCGGTTTCAAACATGCTGCTGTCCACAGGTACTACTGAACTACCGTGGCCATTCTTCTACTATCTATGTCCTGTTGCGACTAGTGACGACGACCTTTGAGCTTCCATCGTCGCAAGTCGTTCAAATCGTCGCCCACGACCTCGATGGCACGTGCTACGTCCGTCGACGCCCCGCCGGTCGCTTCCGTCCGCCCTTTTCGACTCCAATGTCATCTACGGCTTGCTTTCCTTGGCTCCCACCGACCTCCTCGCTCACAACACTGTACGAGTGGACGATCCGTAGTATATTCCTGATGAAAAATGGAATTCTTCCAGACGAACGACGATCAAGATCGTCACGACCGCATGTACGTGGCACTGCTATCTCTGACCACCCACTCCCATCGCATCGTGCTCAATTGGTAATACCAGGCCCCGTCATGTATGCAAGGGATATATGACCTGACCATTTCGTCTAGTTCGTTCGATGCCTTGGATCATTCGTATCACGTGCGTGGGTTTGTGGTGGCATGTCCAACTTCCACATACGCCGAGGAATTGACCATGCTGGAGCATCAAGTGCTCGTGTTAGCCAGGACCATGGAGCAGGTACAGCACCCCCATCTGAATCAAGTCAACTAACTGCTAATTGATGTATTGTCGTCATGTAGGCGCATATATGGAAGTGGACGAGTCATGTATGGGGAGGAGACTGTGCGGAACACAGCAATGTCATCCAAGAGATTGTACCGACGTTTGCGCAGTTGCAAGGTCTTCGTGTGATGCTTCCGTGCTATGACATCTCATCCCCACCGACTTCTCGACATGAACAAGACGAGTTAGTGTAGTCGACACGGCCGTAGATGAGAATGCTAGGTATGACACACGAAATGGAGATAGGTGGCACTCGTACGTTAGTTGATATGTCAATCTACTCGAAATAAATAGCTGCTGAAGAAATCGAACGTGTGCCCCCTCGTACTAAACGACGGCCAGTGCCATGGTGCAAATTTGGCTTCAAGATGACTTCCAATACAATTATTAGGGGGTATACATACGCCCACAACTTTTTGAGCATGTTGTGCAGCACTTAGTCGTGTTCGTGAACGACGGCAGCAGGCTTGAAGGTGGTGGTGCTGCTGCGCGGGACGTACGTTGCCTGACTAGCGTGCATGCTGCCTCGTCGGTCAGGAGTCCACTGCATGGGCAGTTCCGTCACCGGCTGGGGCTCGAGGATGGCACACGAGTTGACGGGTCCCGGAATCCGATGGGCGCGGGTGGCAGCTACGACCACCACGGCTGCCAGCACACACGCGACGAAAATCTCGATTTGCACGGTCGCTGTTAGCCATCCATTCTTATGGCCATCGTCCTCCGCGGACGTCGCACTGAGAACCGTGAGGGTACCTGCGAGCCCCACGGCAGCTCCCACGGGAATGCACACGTATTGCGCCGGCGAGACCCCGCTGCCAAACCTACGACCAAACAACTAAGCGCGATTTGCTCCAACCATATTGCTCCACCAAGCCCGTCGTACGACACTGCAATCAAACATGGATTGGGGTCGTATATATGTATGTATGTATGTACCTAGCGGGCATGGGTTGCCGAAGTTTGCGGCACCGAGTGGCGTCGAACGAGGACGCGGGGGGACAGCCCACACACGTGGTAGTCTGCTGGCCACCCGTAGTCGTGGGGTAATACTCATACAGCGTGTACTTGGACATGCCGTCGCGAGCTGACCATTCATTCCCGACGACCTACCGTGTCACATCCCACCCAAAAGTTCATCAAAATCGTCAGTTTCGTCAAGAAACAATGTGACAGTTCATTACGACGCACCACATCCGCCACACAGCCCACCGCCGTGGACCCAAACACCGCGTTGTACTTGACCCAGTACGCGTCGAGGGTGTCGATGGCGGCGTTATAAACGTACGAGGCGTCGCATTGCACGGGTCCGCATGCGACATCGTTGCAGTTGCGCACCCGGACGCCATAACCAGGCACTTTGGCATACGCCTAAAATGCCACATCCAACAACAATTCAACCGCGATATTGACAGAATATTGCATTCATCCACCACTTGTTACGTGCATTGTTCATTCAAATCACTTCGAACGATGAATGCACATCTGATTCTCTTGCCACCGCCGCGATCAAAATATTGGGGGGATGGTCGACACATAAATTTAGGTGTGCACAATGGAATAGTGGAGGTACCTTTTGAAAGTCAAAGTGATCGTTGAACGAAAGCGTGTGTTGACTGCACGCAGCACAGGACGATCCGGGCAAGCTGCCCCCGCCCAGCACGAACGGCATGGCGTCGACGCCTTGGGCGTTTAAACTGAGTGGATCCGCGTTGCGTTGGCACGCGGGAAGGCGCCGCGTGCCTGGTAAGTGCACGACATGCGTCGCCCCTACCCCCCGCCAATACCACTACGAAAGACGGATCAACTCATCATTCGATTACGTCCAGTACCTGGGGAAATGCCGCGAGCTGCTTGGTTTGCCCCGGGGAGACTTCGAGGCCGATCATGGGGGCCCCGTTGCCAGGGGTCACTCGCTGGCACGTGGACATGGTGGCGGGGACGTAGTTGGTCACGAACGACGTGTTCAACCCGGGGACGCAAAGGGGCTGGTTGGGCGAATCCAGCACGAGTCGGCCTTTGTCACAGTAGAGCCCGCCCTGCGAGGTCGACGCAGAGTACGGGGGGCAAAGGGAAATGTAAGGAATGCAGTCGGCGTTGCTCCATCCGTTGCTGGACGCTACGTACGGAGGCTCGCAGCCGTAGACACAGCGATCCCCACTGGCACATGGCTGCTCCATGGCAAAGCCAGCGTTGGTATTGCCTGCACTTGGCGCGGCAATGTACAGTAGGTTCGGATCGAACGACTTGTCGAGCGTGCAATACAGCGGCGAGTTGGTCGGAGGAATATAGCACACAGATGTAGGGTCGGAGGCGCTGCACGTGTACACGAGGTTGGGCGGTGGGGTGGGCTTGGGGGTGGTTGAAGTGGCACTTGGGGCTGCGTTGGAAGATGGGTGGGGAGCGGGAGATGGGGTGGCTACCTCACCCGACAAGGTCGATGGCGGCTCAGAGGTTGGCCCAGACGACGGCGCTTTCACTTGACCCTGCGTGCCTCCTTCGATGCGGTCCGCCACAGGGGCAGACGAGTCAGCGGTGGCGGTGCCTTGGGATTGTACGGTGGCAACGATGGTCACGACAACTGCAAACAATGCCACGAGTGTGATGGCGGCCGTGAGGAGGTACCGCTTTCGGCGATCCGCCCAGGCAGACGCTAGCATTTCATGCACTCCCATGCCTTAGAACTGTCGATGCCGCCGAGAACTGGATATTGTCGATCGTTCTCACAAGAGAAGAAGTAGGAGGGAGAAGCGGAGGTGGTTTCCGTCGTTTCACATGCCTGCATGCTGGCGGTTACCATGGAAGAAAGTGCAAACATACTACATACAGTACTAAGTATTAATAAATCGTTGACACTATTTCCTAGTGTCCGACAGTACTGTGAAAGCATCACGACGGCAAAGCCAATCAATATTCTAGTGGCTAATTTACAGAGACCTCATCCTGGGCGTTGTGCAGTCATAATTTTGATACACTTGAATGACCCCGAACATGTTATAATAAACCCCAAGCAATAACATATCAATACATCGCCGACAATTATATGGCCACCACTGTCACCATGGCGAGGCAGCGTTGATGTTAACGTTAACGAGTATGCAAGCAGCTAACAACGAACAACAAGATATATCTGAACGAATGAAGACGAGGGAAGCAACAACTGGTCACTGATATTATTATTAATCGTTAGGCAAACTCGTGCCTTCAAACAGACATTCCCATCCGAGCCCCCATGCTTCTTGGTCTGCCATCATACCAATCGAGTTGTCCTGTCTCAGTTTCGACCGCACAAACCGAGCGATTGTGTGCTGCAGCTCCGGGCACGGCCTCAGCATCTCCACCGTCAACGGCTCGCGGCTAAACGGGTTTACGCTGGCCGACAGCAAATGACGCTCGATCATCGACCGGTCCACAATGTGCCCGGACGGCAGCTGCACCGGGTGCAGCATCAGCGTATTGAGAATCGGGTCCAGATACTCGTCCGGCACGGCGCCAAGGCGCGCGTCCATTTGCTCGTGCAGCGCCATCACTTGCTCGGTATGGTCCACCACTTGAAGGAATTTCTCCCGCCACACGCTCGTGAGCGACGGGTCCGACCGCAGAAGCACCGCGGCCCGTCGGAACCGCACCGACTCGAATCGACCGTCCGCCGCCAACGCCGACACAAATCGCGCCGCGAGCTGCCGCTCCACCCGACTCGCGTCTTCGAGGCTCCGGTCCTCGCCGGCTTTGGCCTCTAGCGCCGCCAAGGCGCGGTCAGCCGACTCTTCGTCCGGCTCGTTGTCACTACCAACGTCTCGGTCGAGTGGCGGCGGTGGTGGCGGAATGCTTTGCGCCGCCGCCATCCCCCGAGCCGCTGCCGCGTCTTTTTCCAGACGAAACAAGCACGAGCTCAGTTTCCACCGCTGGTGCACGTCCAAGTCGCCAATCTTTTCCTCCATGAGGATGCCTGCGTAGTTGGATAGTTTCCACGCCGACGCTTCGGGGCACGAGTGATGCAGCCCGGCGCACCGGACGACCACAAGCAGCGCCTCGGCGAGCGCGAGCATGCCGTCCTGGTAGATTTCCGCCGAGAAGCCCCACTTGGACGGATGGAGGTGCGTCTCGAGCGTCGCGACTACAAACGACAGCGTCGACGCTGTTTGGTCCACCAGCGACCGCCGACACAGAACGGCACGAAGCGACGGCTCGGCCACGATCCACGCGACGAGCTCGAGGCATTCGATCAACACGCGAAACGTCGTTCGAGCTTTGTTGAAGTGCAGCGCCATATACGACTGCATCATGGCCGGCTGAAAGTACGCGCCCGTGGTGGACGTGGGGCTGTCCTGGAGCTCCTGGATTCGGCGCATCGCGAGCACCTTGGACGTGGCTTCGTCTAGGAGGCGGGTGATGTCATGGAGGGCGCCGCTGAAGAGGAGCCCCATGCCGTGGTGGCCGCCGGCCCAGTCGACGTCTGCCTCGTTCGACGACGACGGACAAGGGGCGTTCCATAGCCACCGAAGCAGCAACAACGCCGACAACCGCGCCGGAAGTAGCCCCCACGACGAGTCACCCCCCGTGCTGTTGCTGTAGTGGTCCAGATCTTTGTGAAAACGCAGCAGACTGTGCACAGCCGACCGCCGCAGCGTCGGGCGCAGGGCCAGCACGTCGTACAGCACCAACGCGGGACTCTGGGCAGTCGACGCGGGGGACTTGAGTGGGGCCAGCGACAGCAACGCTCGGACGAGTTGCACACGAACGTGCGGCGAGTTGGTCAGACACTGCGCGCCCACGAGCGTAAACAGGAGCGATACCAGCGGTTCCATGGCTTTAGGTGCCCAGTCCACGCCGTCGCACGGGTGGACGCCCACGACATACAACACGTCGGCCAGGTTGCACAGCACCGTTTCCGGAACCATCGCGTACGCTAGTGCCAAGTCATTCTCGTCGTCGGGTTGCGCGATCAAATGCAGAAGCCACCGCGCCACGCGGGTGTAATACCCAAACACGAGGTGGAGAAACGACGGCGAAAACAACTGCACCTCCATGGCGCTCTTGGTCTTGATCAGTTCGTCGACGCGGGTCGCGTTCATCGTGGCGGCGTGGTGGTGGTGGTGGGTCGACCGCGTGGACCGCCGTCCGCCGCCACCGCCGCCGCTACCCCCGCCGCTGCTTTGGCTTTGCTGCCTCGAGCGGGTTTCCACGTTGTTGAGCGCTTTCAACTGCGTGTGCTCGCGGTGCACCGACACGTATCGCATGAGCGTGAGCACAGGGCCGACGTGCAGACTCTTCATCGCAACGTACCACCACAGATCGGGCTGGTCGGCTCGGGGGGGTAAAAACTGGGGCGGGTACAGGCTTTGGTAGAGCCGACACGCCGACGGGGGCACGGGCACACGTGTCGTGTCCACGTAATGGTGTCCCGGGGCATGCAACCGGTGGGGATTGCCGGCGGCGGCGCGTTCTTCGGCGTCGACGCAGGCCAAACATGCACGGCGGTCGCACTGACTACATTGGTACAGGCCCGACCGAGCACTCGACGAGCCCCCCCCATGCCCACGGCATCCGTCGCAGCAGCTCGCGGTGGCGGCTTCGTGCAGGTCCACGGCCGGTCGCTTTCGAAACGACCACGTCGTGACTTGGGGCAGCGGGATGCTCAATCTTAGAAACATGTGCGTGGGGGGGTGGGGTAGGTCGCGCAAGGGTTCGTGAATCAAACCGACGACGGCATGGTCATAGCACGCAGAGCACAAGTCAAAGTCGTCGCAGTGGATACATTTGTACCGAACGCCCACAAAGTCTTTGTCTTGGCAGTGGTCGCACACGACTCCGGCATGGCCGTCGTAGTGGGGGTAAAACAGCAAACTCTCCCCCCTGTCGTCGGTGGAACTTTTGGTTGTCGATAGGTCGGCTCCGCGCTTGGGCAGGACGCGCGCGAGGTCGCCCATCGCGAGCCGCCCCGGCCGGTCCATGTGCCACGTCACGTCCACTCGCATCTCGTCGGGCACTTGTTGCTTGGCGACTTGACATGCCATCGCAGCGACGTTAATGAGAAACCCGTCGGACGCGCATTCGATCGGCGAGTGGCCGAGGCGGCGACGCACGCCGTTGGCGTCGACGGTGCACGCGACCCAGCACCTGGTGGCTTCGGCGACGGCCCCGCCATGTTGGCACAACGCGCGCACGACCGCCGCGTGGAGCGACTGGACGGCATCGAGGGTCGCGCGGGCCCCCGACTTGTCGGCTGCCGGACCGCAGAGGCAGTCGCCGGGCACGACGTCGTCCGGAAAGCTCGTGTGCCGAAAGAACGGGCCGAGAAACGAAGACATTTCCATGGCCTTTCCTGTTATGACCACCGGCAGCCACTGCGATGAATGGACCAACGCATGACAAAACGACGCGGACGACACGACCATGTCGTGGAGAATCGTCAGCAGCGGCAGAAGCGGCGCGCCGGCGGTCAAGGGAAGTTCCAGCACGCGGCAGCGGAGGAGGCGCGCGACGTCGAGCACGACGATGTGCATGTTCGCGGCGCAGAGCGTGTCGAGGGCATGCGTCCAGAGGCCGTCGAGGACGCGAGGAGGCGACGTGGCGCTGGAATGGCGGCGCGGGAGGGAAGGTGATGACAAGCCACTGGACGAAGACGATGGTAGTACTGGGACGCGAGTAAAGCATTCTTTGCATAAATTCACGTCGCAGCCGGCGCATCGATACACGACGTCGGTTTTCACGAGCGCCGCGCGGTGGCACGTCGAGCACGGCCAGGACGATGATGAAAACACAACGACACCGTTGGATGGGACGAGGGGATGGATGTGCAGAGGGTGCATGTGGCCGTACTCCATGGACGACGCAAGAACACTTGTGAGGAGAATGGTGGCGGCGTCCACAGCGGCGTCGTCGTGGTGGAGAAGGGTGTGAACATGCGACAGAATCATCGTGTGTGCCATGGCATATCCCGCGGCTTCTGCGGCGCTTCGCAGTGAATCGGATAGATCATGAGTTGTTTCTTCGTGCCGGTTGATGCGGTCGATGCACGAGAGGAGTACGTCGACGAGGTGAACCACGGCTCGATGGGACGGAATCCACGGATGGTCGGGACTGTCTTGGGTCAATTCACTGAAGAATTCGGCGGCATGGACCGTCACAGCCCGTCCAGGGGCATATGCCAGTGCCGCCGAGAGCGGACGAAGCGACAACACGTCCTGGAGGACGCGCGACTCTGTGTCGAGCGCGGCAACGAACGACTGATGGAACACAGAGCCAGGTAGCGATGCGGCCGTCGACGTTGGGAACGGCGAGGACACCCGACTTCGAATCAAACTGCCCTTTCCCGAGAACATGACAAGATGAAGAAGCGTCGGCGGGCGGCAGTTGGAGACACTTCTGTCCTCGACACACGAAGCAGTTGTTTCCGCGCGATGGGCGAGGAATTTTTAATGAAATGTTTTACTTCGGGTACAAAGACGAAGAGAATGGGCCAGTATTTATTTTAATTGTGCGGAACGTGTTTTTTTTAATTTGTTGATTCATGGAACACGTGCGAATCGACTCTGCTATTCCTTCCACATCATGTCAAGCCATCGTCATGGACTTGCATGGTCCAGTGGATGGAAGAGCGGATGCATGCTGTGTTACGTGAGCCAAGAGTCCATCTAACGATCCTCGTTCGTGGGGGCGGCGGCGACGGCGGCTGCCAGTTGTTTTTGGAGCTGCTTGGTCTTCTCCATGGACTTCTCCAGCTTGGATAACAGCGTGTTGTTTGCTTCCTCGCACTCGTCCAGTTCTTGTCGATCCGTTGCCGCTTTTGCTTCCTAGCCACAATGTGGATGATGGTATCATCCACTGCATATTCATACATGCATCATCTTTGGTCGTACGATGTCGGCAACTTTTTGGCGAGCGGCCGACACTTCCTTGTGCAGCGCGATGTGCTTTTGCTGCAGCTCGTTGATCTACATGCGCGCAAAGGTCAATTTGGCACCAACGAAATCCTTTTGATACTGCACAAACATATGGACGAGATGTGGTGTGTGTACTACAGTACCTACCTGCTGCAAGTAGACTTGGTTGGAGAATTGCAACAGCTGCCGGTCTTCGTCATGGAGCTTGACCCACACAGCGTATTCCCGCAGTCGTTTCTTGAGTGCCGGCAGAGTCAAGCTCCGGGCTTCCTCGAGCATGTTGTCGTCGTCATCGTGATACAGCTGGTCTTCTAACGCCTCCACCTGCGGCATGATGTCTGTCCCTGCGCGATCGTTGCATGCCAAGTCCACGTCGTCGCGAATGGCGTCGTACTTGGACTTGGTGCTCTACCCAATGTTGGTTCTGCCATGAATGTGATGGAAACATGGTGGAATCTTTGTACCAAGAGCTTGGTTGACAGGTCTGATAGGCGCGCCTACGAGTGAATGTTTGTCAAAATGATTATATCAATATTAGTAAGCAGAATTATTGTGAATATCGATATAAACTTCCAAAATTCGCGTGGTTAATTATATAATACTAGTATTGAATCACCCTGGAGTTCTGATTGGTTGAACATACTTGTCCTTTTTGTAAGAGCCAATCAAATCCAGTCAAAAATGGAGTAGCCAATAGCGTCGATTCGTGATTCGATTCGGCGGCAAGACAGGGTCTGGAAATATGTACCGAATCCACAAAAATACCTCGTATTTCGCATGAATCGTTTCGGATAGCTCATTGTCGCGCGCTGCATTGTACGTCGAAAGCTGCGTCAATGAAGCCTACATGTGTGTTGTTAGATGGACCCTCTCTCCCTCCCCCCTCCATGTACGTACAAACGTACCTCGAACGTCGCTGTTATCGACGCTATCTGCGCCATTGAAGTAGCTGTTCGTGATTCAAGCTCCGCTTGTACCCGGGCTCGTTGGTCTTCAACATCGGCCATTCGACCTTTTAGAAGGGCATTCGCGACTTCCAAGGCAGCATTGGATGCTTGCAGATCAGAGTTATGTGCTTCTAATTGGGCTGCTCGTGTCATGTGGATAGTGTTTTGTGACATGGCGTCTTGCAGTTTTGCCTGGAATGACGACGTCAACCCGACAAAGCCATTGCGTCGCTCGCACCTCTAACGCCAACACCCGCTTGGACAAGTCTTCGCTCACAACATGGGCAATATTTGTCATAGACCCCCCCTGCCACCGGATTTGAGTAATGAGAAGTTTGAAGGAAACAGGGTGACACTCACATTGTTGGTGTCGCATTGCGACGACGACGCGGGGGATGGGAGACAGACATTCTCCTTCACAAGTCCATTCCCTTTGTCTAGTCTAGTTGGAGCAAGTAACGGCATGAGACGACGTTTCTTGGACGGAATGTCGGTGGAACCGTGCAACACGACGACGTTCTCTTTGTCGTCCGATGTGCTGCTTTGGCTGCTCAACGCACTGCCGCTTGTCGTGGGACTCGTCTCTGTCTTCGCTTTTGATGGACTGCTCGGTCTTGGCTTGACTCCTAGTACGGCGGAGTTCTCTGCTCGCATCAGCGCGAGGCTGTTCCGGAGGTCCTGGAGTCTGATTCCTCGTTCTTTTGCTCGCTCCCGCCATTGCATGAGCTTCTCACGACAGTAGTCTGGATCGGTCATAATACAATAGCACGGACGAATCTACGGAAGTACCCCTTCTTGATGCTTTATCACCGCTGGATTCCACACGTTCGCGGGTACCAAACGTCCGCACCGCGCGAGATGTGAGAAAGTGCGGGGGAATTGAAATTCAAAGGCGGCAACTAACCGGACACTTGTTTGAATTTATCCGGAAGATATACACTAATTTGCATTCGTCCGCTTCACGGACTCGCCGTCGACAGAGGTGCCGCAAAGAGAGCGTCAGCAACATTTGTAAAGTAGAATGTGTCTTTTGTGGGGTTGCGCCTTGTGTAGTCACTGCCGGTTTGGTTCCCCGTTTGCTTGATGGAGCCGTAGAGACGCCAGCCGCACGCGCTCAACTGTGCAAACAAGTGCGCGATCATCAGGCGGCCGTGGGTGCTTCGGCTCGAGTGGTCGCTTTCCCATGGACATCCATCCAGTTGGAATTCCGTGGTACCTTGGACAACCTTGGGGCTCAACAACACACCCTTGGGGGTGAAATGGTAGTCAAGGCACGCCTTCGTGATGGCAACAACCTCGTCCGGGGCGCCGATCAAGCGGAGGAGGCAGTTTGCGTTCACAGAGATCGCCATCATTCGCGTCGTTGTGGGCTCGCGTTGTTCAAAGAGAAGCACGTCCTTGCCGACACTATCCCCGGTGATGTCGATACCTTGGAAGAGATAGTAACCGTGGGATTGAAGGCATCGGAGAATATGAAGCATCATGCGACGGGAATAGATCGTTTCAGCAGCGCCCGATGGACTCCACACATTTGCATGGAAGACGATAGTCTTCTGGTCCTGCCGCGTCGCGGTAAGACGTGGCCAACCAACAGTGGCCGCCTCAATCACCCAGTCCACAGCTTCAGGGGGAAAGTTGCTGAATCGAAGGATGTTGTCATCGAGAAGGGAAAGCATTGCAAACGGTGGGATGTGGTTCATGGCGAAGGATGTGAATTGGTTATGACCATGGCGAGATCCCTTTCCATGTTGACATCCTTGTCTTCCAAGGATGCCCCACCCAAATTTCTCGTAACCGTAAAAATCGACCGCTCCGACAAATACTAAAGATGGACAAATAATGATAAAATAATATTATTCATCCCACTGTTGATGGCAAAAGAAATTGTTGTAGACGACTTTCAAAGTCATCGACATGTCTGCCATTCAACCCTTGGCGTTGCTCTCGCTTCATCGAAACGACATTATCCGACTGAGCAACTTCCCTCCCAACGCCAGTCGTTGGATCACCGAAGCCGCCACTGTCAGCTGGTCGCGCGGCGTTACGTCCGTCACATCCAAAGATCTCGAGATGGAAATCAAATTCGGAGGGTCGCCTTGGGCCTCGAATGGCGAGGACGCCGTGCATTCCCGCCGTCTCATGCTCCACATCCTGCGCGTCTTGCTCATGCACGGATATGTCTTGTATTGCGCCACGAACATGAGCAACACTGCTAGTAGCAAGGACGTGCTGCTCTTCGAACGGACGGAGCCATGCACGCCGCTGATGATGGCCATCTCCGTCAACCAACACGACATCCTTCGAGTGATCGACGCTCCATCCGACGTCGTAGAGCGCATCACCTCTTGCGTCAACGCCCACTACCAGGGCGGCAGCGTCCGCGTGTCCGAGTACACTCATGGCTGCACCCAGTTCAAGCTATGGAGCTCCCCTTGGTCGTCCGGGCACACGCCGTTTGGACGGCTGCTGGTGGCCCATGTGTTTGCCCATCTGAGCGCTCTGGGGTGGAGGCTGTACGGAGCAGCGATCATGCAGAACACGTCGTCGGAAGGCACGATGGTCAAAGATTCGTGGTATTTCGTGTACGAGCCAGTCGTGCAAGTCATAAGTGCCGGTGTCGTATCTTCCAAGGGGCTCGAGTAATCGTCTAATGAATCCGTACTACATCACCATACCATTAAAGTCCCAACCAGTGCCTTTGCCTACTAGTTATTAATACGACGTACAGTAAGAGCATCTCCACCGGTTGGGACTTATTACCTGGTCTTATACGGATAATGCACGGATTAATGAGTCTTATGTTGATTCCAGCGATTAACAGTTAGTACTAGAAAGAGATGTGTCATCTAACGAGAATACTATGTAGGATGATAAGGACTGCCTCGGCGTTGCTCGTTGGGGGGAACGCGTTGATTACGACTTCTGCATGCTGTACACACCACCGTCCACTAGTCTAATATTGTTGTTACTGTCCTGGCCAACCTCGTCGTTCCCAGTTGTCGCCAGGCATCATCTATCGAGCGTACTCTCAAGGCGAACGTAGGATGATTGACTCGAACATTCATCCTTGTCGATGCATACGAATGGTTGAGGATACTAAAAGTCTCTCGAAGACTACTCTGTCACATTCTATGCGACGATTCTGGCACTCGAAGCTGCTGCTGTTGATGGGGCACGGGCGACATGTTGGGCAGAGTCTGCCGGGTCACCCCCACAACCACGGCCGGTCCCATCGCCTGGACCTGGTCCTAGGTGAGAATGCCATTTCTCGTTATGTACACTGTACGTACAGTACGTATTCTAGGGTACATACCTGCGACGACGTTACACAAACCAGTGCTTTTACGGAACAATCCAACGCGGCTGGCATCGTCACAGGAACGCGGCAGCAAACGACCCACGCCCGTCGGTCTTGCCACGTGATATCCCTTGGAACGACCTCCTGCAGCACAACCATCGGAGCGTCGGACCCGTCGGGCTCCACCAGGATCTACAACAGCATGCAACACATCAGCATCCTCTTTCTCCTCGTCCTCCTCGTCTCATCACACATCGTAACAGCATTATTCGTTTGAAACCAATTCCACATATAAGATTGTCCATTCGATTCGAAATTGGAGTATTTGGGTGCTCAATCGAAGTGAGCAGAATCACCAAATCGAAGGCAGACAATATCGATATATCGACCAATCAAAACACAAAACATGAATCAACTAGCCAATCAAATCATCCACTTTTCGAATGATTCAACATCGAATTAGTGTGTGATTGAAATTCGTGTGACACCTGGACGATCTTTACTAAAGTCAAAACAAAGAAAATCGATCGATAGATTTGGCAAAAAATCAGCAAAAACGTCCAAATTTTGGGTAAAAGGACAATATTAAAACAAGATATTGCAAAACGACACACACAAAACACACTCACGTACTTTGATGGCGAGGGTTGTGGGGTCGTCGACGCCGTACACTAGCGCGGTCACGACGACATGTTGCTGCCAGCCTGGCGCATAGGACGCCATAGGTGCAGGACACACGACCTACACAGTGAACTATACATGAGGTAGGTCCGGTTGTTGATAGAACTTCATACCGTGGCATGTGCAGGTTCTATGTCGACTGGGTGTGGCGCCGACGCTGTCACAAATAACGGTGTCGCACATACATGTGTCGTGTCCGTTCCCAACGCTCGAAGGAGGGGTACATGCTGCAAAGCACGCAAACGATCTCCAAGGGAAGCGTCTAGACGAACCAGCGGCGCGACGTCACGACCCACGACCGCTGTCAGCGCAAGCAGTCGGGTTTGCAACGCAGAAGTTCGACAAAGTATGGGATTAGCCGTTGGAGTAGAGACGGTTGGTGGTGGCCAGAACAGGTGGGAGATGGCGGCAAGCCAGTCGACAGCTCGATTCGCATGCAAAAGGTGCTCGAGAGAACACGTGGCGAGCACGGACATCAGCGCCACCACGTGCGGCACGTCCGTCGGGGGATTTGTAAACAGATAATCCATCTACATGACCGTCAACATACCATACTGTAACGTTATTGTGAGTTCGCTGTAAACACCCAAAATTCGCGCGGTTTGTCAAATAGCGTTATCAATAGATTGAATCACGTTGTCGTTCTGATTGGCTGAATATACTTGTCCTTTCCTGTAAGAGCCAATCAAATCCACTCAAAATTGGATTAGCCAATAGCGTCCATTCGTGATTTGATTCGATTCGACAGGGTCTAGAGATCTGTACCGAATCCACAATATAAACCAAAGCCATTTTGGTCAAATCGATTCGAAACTGGAGAATGTTTTAAGAGACCGTCTAAGCCAATCAACATCACGTTCTGTCGAGTTTCTGCCAATCCAAACTAGTATTGATGTAGCCCAATCTGGCAAAACAAAGGTAGACTAAATGTTGTATAGAATACTAGTCTATATCAGATTCAAAGTGATCAAAAATAGATTCGAGCGTAATCTATTGTCGATTTGATACAAATTTGGGGAGTGGGGGCAATCGAATCGCGCCGACCAAACCGATCCACAATCGATCTGATTGGTTGAATTTCATTTAGAAGGTTTTGATTGGCTAATAATGTTGAGCTCAATTGAAGTAGCCAATCAAATCGATTTAATTTCCAACGAGAAACTCGAAAGCACAATATCTATATTTGGTGAAATACCTGTTCGGTTGTGAACGCATATGGATGGGTATTGTGGCACTTCAACAACGACGCCAACGACAGCGTGATGGTGAGTTTGGCCGACAACGACGCGCCTACATGCACCAAGTCTGCATGCGCGGTGATGGAGTTCTCTAGCGCGGCCACATGCAGGTGCGGCTTGCAAAGGCGGGCGAGGGCGACGATGCTGCGGGACGCTTCCTCCCGAACCTACAACCACATGTGGCGAAGCATGAGATAGATGATGCGTACCTCGTCATGTTGGTCTTCCAGCAACGACAGCAACACGCCCGTGGCCACCAACTCGGTAGGAACGTGTGGCTGTCCGTCGTCCAGCGGCGTCTTGAGCAACCATTGCGCGATCGCGTTTGGTGATGCCACGTCATGGAAATGACGCAGCGACAGCGCGACTTCCCGACGTACGACGTGCGATCGATCCATCGCGTGCATGTAGAAGGACGAGAGGACCGACGCGTCTTTGTGCTGCAGGGCCACCACACGGAGAAGGCGCAGGGCAGCGACGCGGCTCGTGGGAGAACCGCTCGAGGTGGCGTCAAAGAGGATCGAAGCCACGGACGCGACTAGGGAGCGCGGGAGTTCCGTGTGTCGAGAGGAGGTTGCGAGGGCTAGGAGGCCGTCGATGGCAATCAAACGGATCCCAGGAGTCTCGTCGTGCAAGAACTCGAGGCAGATGGCTTGAGCTTCCGCCTGGAGATCGCTCGCAATCAAGACGTCACGGCAAATCTTAAGCACTTCTTCGCGCTGCTTGCGCTCGTCCATGAGGTTCATGCTTTGGCGGACCACTGGAATGAACTGCGCGGGGTTTACATGTGGACGGACCACCATCGGCTTGACCGCATGCAGCAGACGAAGGGCTCCGCACTGTGCACTGATAATGTGCACGCGATCTATTTCAACCGATTGCTTTTCTTGGCTGATTTTCCCAATGATCTCGATATGGCCTGACGACTTGCAGTTCGGGGCACATGCCGCGAGAGCAAGGCGCTGCATCAGCGCTCCGCACAGCCACGCATCCGTGTCGTTCAGTCCATGCGACTGCAGTTTCTCCCATAGAGAGCTCACATGGTCACTCGTCTCGTCTCCTGTGCGCACGCGGATCTCATCCACGAGCGCATGCACAGAGTTCAGGCGGCTCCGCGAAGTCTCCGCCATTTTGGAGTATTTCGGATCATCCGGATAAACTGCGAAAAATACCAGGATAAGTCTGAGCATTTCATCTTGGATATCTATTAAAATTAAATTGTTGGCTTTAAATTAGTAAAGGCGTTTGTAAAATAGAGAAAAATCAATTATTAATATTAATACTTGTATTGCTTCGACCCCACACAACATGGTTCGATACGCAGCATCACCAGACGCGCTAGTGGCTTCGACATCGGCTGATGCGGCGCTTCCGAAGGTTGTCCTGATTGGGACGGAGGAGCATCCTGGCCTTGATCTAGTGACTCAAGTGGTGAAGCGTGTGAGTGGATTGTCATCCGTGGACCCCGTGGCGGTGCAAATTCTGGCGCACGCGGTCCAGGAACTCGCTCCGACGCCGGATTTGTCCGCGTCGGCACACGTGTACGTTCCTGTCGGCGACAAAGTCCTCAGTGTAACCGTCGCCCAACTGCCAACGAATATATCGCGCTACAACACGCCGGCGCGACCCCATGCAGTGAGCGAACTCGTAAAGGCCCATGGTTCGTCTGGGGCTGTGGTGGTCGCGCTGTCTCTGCCGGAGCACGTTTTGACATTCGAAGCGGCGGCGTTTGCAGTCGCCAAGGGCATCCCGGCGTATTCGCACAAGAGCAACGCCCCATTCCGCGGCGTAGTCAAGGATGGCATCGCCACGTCGTTTCCATCGGACAACGTGCACGTTGTGTTCCGTGAAAGTCTTACGGATACGCAATTGTCGTACCTGAACCATACGGCCGACGGTATTCACTTGACGCAGCGCCTTGTGGACGCCCCGCCAAACGAGCTCAACACGGACACGTTCGTCGCAGAAGCTAGGGGTGTCGCGGCGCGGACGGGGGCCGCCATCACGGTGATCCGCGGCGACGAGTTGCGTGTCCAGGGTTTTGGTGGGCTGTACGGGGTAGGCAAGGCGGCGGCGCATCCGCCAGCGTTGGTCGTACTCTCGTACTACCCTCCGTCGACATCCGACACCACCGGAAGTGTAGCGTTGGTGGGCAAAGGCATCGTGTACGACACTGGCGGACTCGACTTGAAGCTGTCTGGCGCGATGCAGGGCATGAAGGACGACATGGGCGGGGCCGCGGGGCTTCTGGGCGGGTTCCAAGCCGCGGTGCTGTCGCGGTCAATCACCACCCGCCCGCTCCATGTGGTGCTTTGCCTCGCGGAGAACGCCATCGGCCCGCTGGCCACCCGCCCCGACGACATCCACACGTTTTACTCTGGCAAAACCGTGGAAGTCAACGACACGGACGCGGAAGGCCGCCTCGTGCTGGGCGACGGGGTCGCGTACGCCGTCAAGCACCTGAACCCGAGTCTGCTCGTGGACATGGCGACGCTGACGGGGGCGCAGGGCATCACGACGGGCCAGCGCATTGCGGCTGTGTACGCCAACACCAACGAGGCCGAGGCGTGGGCCGTCGTGGCGGGTCGGCGGTCGGGGGACCTCGTGCACCCGGTGCCGTACTGCCCAGAGTTTTTCCGCCCAGAGTACAAGAGCGAAGTGGCCGACATGAAGAACTACATGGCCAACGGCAAGAACGCCGCCGTGAGCTGCGCCGGCCAATTCATCGGTAACCACCTCGGCGCGTACGAAACGAACGGCCACTGGCTTCACGTGGACATGGCGTACCCTGTCGCCAGCGGCGGGCGCGCCACCGGCTACGGTGTCGGGTTCGTGCAAGCTCTTGTGCAGACTTTTAAGTGACGGGAAGACCGAAGCTACGCATGTTGATTTGCATAAGTTAGACTGTAATGGAATATGATGCCTTGTTTGATCGAGGGTGGAGATTTCGACTTGTCAGTTGGCACACGGAAAGGTTGGAGGTTTGGCACATTAAGTGGCCCTCGACACTGTAACTTCGGGAAAAAGAGAAAGCGACAGGATGTTCCATGTTGTTCAATTGGACTCACACGTGAATTTGTTTGTACCAGAGTTATATTGTCAATTTGATACAAATTTGGGGAGGGGGTGCAATCGAATCGCGCCGACCAAACCGATCCACAATCGATCTGATTGGTTGAATTTCATTGAGAAGGTTTTGATTGGCTAATAATTTTGAGCTCATCTGAGGTAGCTAATCAAATGGATTTAAATTCCAACGAGAAACCACGCCACAACACGAAATTTCACTCGAAAGCACAATACTTCTCGAAGAATTATGGCACGAATATGACGACTTACGGGAAGGGATCCTTTCCAGTACAACGCGGCAGTTGGCAACTTGGACAAGGCGTTGTATTAAGGACACTTGACATTTCGTCGCAACTACACCAACACGATCGTTGAATGACGTTAGCACAATAATGTTAGCTCAACCATATTGTGGGTCCACTCCAACGTACCTACTATTGTCGTAGCTCTATCGATAAAAACTTGATTAAACCCAATCGAGTTGCTTAGGTATGACTAAACGTCATTGCAACCCATGACTTGGACCTTGAAACTCGAGGGTGCCTACTAAACATTGAGCGACACACATGAATAACTACTTCCAAGTATGAATTCAATGTATTACTACGTATTGTGCTTTGAAACACGGATGGATAGAGCCGTCTCGCGTCATGTCATCTACAAACACTCACGAATTGTGCGAAGAGGAACTTACTTTGGTTTGGGGGGATGCCTCCATGGCACGAAGCTGTACACCCTTGTATCCCCATGATCTAAGCGTCGGGGGAGTGATTTCCCTCGCTAGCACGTCGCGATGGAGAAGAAATAATCTGTAATCATACAGTGTAGGTAAAGATCATACATAACTTAGTTACCATGAAGGAATTCCCCAACAAAGGTAAGATCATCTACGCACGACCCCTCGTCACCACTCACGTCAGCCCCATCCACTCCACGACCCGAGATAATATATTGTAACAACAGTTATTTCGATAAATTGTCGCAAATAATCTATTTATGAATGGCGTTGGATAAGGTTATCTATTTTCAATGATATTATTCAAAAATAACCTTCTTCGAAGTACAGAACATCTTGAAATCTTCGAACACCATCTTACCGCATGATGGCATACAAGGTCCAGTCATTCATCCATTTCTACTGCTCCACTGTACTACCCAAGACAGAGATGTTTGTGGCAATATGTCCCATCAAAACACACAAAGCTGGTAACTTTAGGCGTATACGTATATATCAAGTTGGTATGAACTCATTCAAAAGAACATAAAAAGTATTATTTCGTGTATTTAATTCAAATGGGTAAGTACTGTAATCATCTTGACTGTGAGTCACAATAGGTTTAGAACTACAGTGCTGTATGAAACAGTAAGATATGTCGATACGCGGGCGTGAAAAGCAATAACGTCCTAACGTTATTACTATTATCGAACAGCTGAGAGATCGATATATTATCCACATTTCGAAGGTCGCAATACATGTGTATACGTATATTTATTCTCAAATACGTACCCTGTACTACGATTTTACTACGCAGCAGTAGAATCGAATGAATTTGAGAATTTCCTAGCCAATCAAATTTCACAACCAATTATCGAGAAGTATAGTTTTGCCCATCAAAATGTTCATCTTTTTTAAAGGTGTATACCATACATTGCATAATCTTAAAATCTTAGTGTCAAATCGATACTCGAATCAACTGCGACGTACTAGTACAAATTTGAGTGAAAACGACAATACCTATTACGACTACTATTAATAGTAGTACTGTAATACGTAGTACTCAGAGTACCTCTGCAAGCGGCCTCGTAACCGTGATATAACTCAAAACTTGCTCATTGTTATTCACATGTGAAGCCACTGCGACAAGAGACTATAAGTACTTAAGTACTTACTGTAGTTTACAGTAAACGTGTATTTGGACACGTTAACATGTAAATCCCAACAAATTTGTCCGGCTATTTCGTACGAATTCAACTGTAAAGTTGAAATTTTCCATTTCTGCAGGGAATTCATTTCGTCCTTTCCACAGCTAGCATACCCAGCCAATTTGCGACAAGATGTTTGGACGGGGATTATTCGCCTTTTGAGAATCGTCAAAAATTAATACTAGAATATTTTTAGAAAAATATATAAATTATTCGCAACGAAGATATTTTTGGTCACCCTTGGACGCAGCTCGTGGCGGCCGATTGATTCTGATACGGCATCACCCAAAATCATCGGTGGCCAAATCCATCGTTTTGTGGACTAGTTGTCGAACGAAAGCAACCTAAAAATCTGCTTTAGATGGCAAGTACTGCGTTCGATTACTTCTGGGTATCTATCTAGTCGGCTAGAAACCACCGTCTCCTCTCAATTTGTTGTGTGTGTATGTATATACATACTATTGTAATATCACCTAGCGTTGTAACCAAGCAACACCACAGCGAGCGAGCAAAATGTGCGTGTATTCTTACTCGGCTTTGGTATCTTCATCGTCGCTGTCGTCACCGTTGAGGACGCTGTAGTACTCTGGATGGGCGTCCACACAGTCGCGCAGCGCAAGCGTCTGGGGGCCGCACTTGGAGAGGAAGTCCGCGCCTTCCTTCTTGGACTCGTCTAGGCACGCTTCCCACGAGGTAAACTGGTCGCCGCACGGCCCGGCTTTCATGAAGAGGCAGAAGCCGCACTCGGCCTTCTTGGCAGGGCCGCAAGAATGGGACGCTTCGTCATACGAGGACGACGTGCACAGCACTCCGGATAGAGTCAACGGTCCGTCGGCCAAGATCGTCAGCGACGCTTGCGTCGGTGGAAATGGGCTACATCACGCCAGATCATATGAGTTGCATGTAGTAGTTCGTAGTATTGTCAAAAATCCGTTCGAATATGGACTTGTGAGGTGTATAATCGAATGAATTGGACAAATGCATGTTAGAATGTCCTGGCCAATCAAACTACATTCATGAGACATTTCAGCCAATACTCGATCAGCAACGTTTACGTTGGCGGGCCAATCAAAATATTCATATCATTGAATTTGTATACCATGCATTGAAAAAGCTGAAATGTTGACTCAAATGCATTCTCGAATCAGCCAAGTCCAAATTTTCAGCGAAAACCATCATCAACGTCGAATTAGTGTGTGACTTCAATTAGTGTGATACCAATCACCACAGGACACCATTTTACATACAAAATTCAGTACAAAGAATGGATCGATAGATCTGGCGATTCAGCACAAAAGTCCAAATTTTTGGTAAAAGGACAATATTGAGTCATTCGGGTATACAGTGTGCATAAGACATACAACGATAGGTAGACGTGTAACCTTGACATAAAGACAATACATACAGTATGCAGTCCAATAACATATGCAACAATACAATCGTATTTGCACCCAATATATATATATATATATTGATGTACTTGTAGAACGGAAACAGTTTCGACGCAAACGAAGGCAGCGTGCCATCAAATGAGGACAGACCGACGTTCAATCCTTCAGGCGAGTCGTCGATGGTCAAGTAGCCTGCAGCTTGCAACCGCTCCAAAAGTACGTTCGAGTACCCGCGGGTGTATCTATATGCATACCCAGCAACCACAACGGTGAAGTCGTGATTATGATACAACGGCGGAGAGTTGTACCCGTCTTCGCCACTGACGGACACGGTGACATGCGGGCATTCAACCGCGTAATGCACGTCGCCGTGCTCGGTGGACACGGACGCGATAGCCGCTTGTGCATGTTCGTCCTGAGCTACGGCTTGGATTTTGACCTGAGCGAACAAATCAGCACGTGTGAAGCGAGTACACATCATCTTGTACCGTCACGTTTTTGCCGAGAATGGGAGCGAACGCATCTAGTTCTTCCTTGGATGGATTGTACTTCAGCACGACGCTGGATTGCGCAGAGACATCGCCATGCAACGCTTGGAAGCGGGCCTTGATGGCGTCCTGCGACTTGGCGTCCAAGAACACGCCGACGAATTCCATGCGCTTCGGCGTCGCCTGCTTAGGTGTTTCGTCCGATACCGTCTTGTTCTCGCAGGAAGATGTCATGCTCCATGCACTCCCACCAGTCAACGCAGCCACGCCCACGCCGAGTGGTCGCGCTTGAAACAACGGACGACGGAAGAAGGACGCCATGCCACCAAATGAATGCCACCGACGAAAATGCGAAGCCAATGGTTGGATTATCCGGACATCCTAAACTTAACCGGCACATTGAACCGATCGATCAATCATGCCGTCAACTCACCATACACCCGAGCAGTCGTACTAGTTGGGGGTAAAGCCAGCCGACGTGAGGACGCACGACTAGCCGTAAGGAGCCCAAAGTATGTGTCTGCTAGCTGGGCATTCGCATTGACCACTTTCCGCTTGAACATGCCCTGCAAGTCCACGCATCGAGGGTGCATTGACGAGAAAGTAAACAAGTCGTTTTTCGTTCTTGAGAGATAAGAAGGAATAGCAGAAAGATGGAGAGAAAGATAAGCCCCAGCGTGCAAAGGAATATAATCAGCCCTGGCAGCACCGTGACCCGCCACGCCTTGATCGCCTCGACGGAGGTCAACCGACGCTTGGATTTGTTTGAGCCAAGGCCATTGAAAATACTATTTTTTACTTACATGTATTTGAGTTATTTATTTGTGCCTCCTGCCCTGTTGAATTATTATCTCAAAACAACTTAAATAAACATATTCAATGGGTACTGTATGCTGTTATCGGAATGAAATGACTTATTTATGGAATTCGTAGGGAGATTGCCTACGAATTCATATTTAACCAATGAAAACACTCCTGTACAATGATTGGATAATTCAATCACATATCAACTTGACCCGTTAATAGTTCAATACTTGCTTCATAACAGAGGTATACTTATTGTACGGGACTTGTGTGCTTATGGCCCACACAAGAATTTCCATAAAGTCTTGATTCACAAACGCGTCCAGCTCGACTGTCAACAGAACTTTAACTCTCCCTTAACGATCGCTCTTTCATACTACGTACTAATACAACGCAGTCTAAATTGCGTACTGCTAACGATACATACCTAGTGTTATCAATGGCATTACTGTACCACTAGGAAGCCTCACATTCCCCTTTGGCATGTGACCTGTACAATAGAGGAGGATTGGTCAATTGGAGTCCGGCAATTTGTGATTATCTTGAGATCTCATTGGATATGAAAATCGTAGGATCAGCTCCCTACGATTTCGTCAATTCACAAATGAATTGCGAAATTTTATGTTTGCTACAAATTCGTATATAACTTGGAAAACAATTGAGGTTGAGGATTTCGAAATGGTGAAATCGTAGGGGTGTGTGCCTACGATTGCATACAAAAGTCAAGTTCTGGCCTACAAATTCCATAGAATGAACTTTTTATAGCTCGTTAGTACTGATTACGTAGTACTTCGAAGTACCTTGCACGATTTGCATAGTTCACATTTGAGACCAACAACTAACGGTTACCGGTAGTTAAGTCACAACGGTGGTCGCCAATGGCCCCCTTCGTGCAGAGAAGAATCGCGCATACATTCTTGACGTTGGGACAATAAAGCGGTGATGAAGGAATAAGCTCGGCAAAAGCCTTACCACGGAGGGTGTTCAAAGCTGCCGACATCAAAGGCAATACGATGCAATAATGCGCCGTAGTTAGAGGCTCTTTTTGTAGTAACGTTATTGTGAATTCGCTATAAACTTCCAAAATTCGCGCGTGTCTGCGGTGAACGACGAAGCAATATTGAATCATGCTGGAGTTCTGATTGGTTGAATGTACTTGTCCTTTCTGTAAGAGCCAAATTAGCCAATATCGTCGTTTCGTGATTCGATGGGGTCTGGAAATCTGTACCGAGTAGTTAACTTTTTGCCGTTCAATACTCGGGGCCAATCGGAAGCTTGTCATCCTAGCAATTGGTCGTCCAATAAGATCATAAAAAATGCCTACGAATAATTTGGTCGAAATGAATCATTTATTTTACGGCTTCAAAAACTTGAACAATTTATTTATATACGGAACAATTGTAGATTATTTACTCAAGGAAAGAATAATTTATCTTATTTATATTATTGAATAGTATTCTTTTTAGATTATTTTTTGAAGGGCCTTGGTTTGAGCTGCCAGCGTTCCGTCCTCTCGGGATGGAGGTACGAACGAATATTCGCTGGCCCTATGGAACAAGTGTCAACGTATGTCGAAACTCCATCGGCTACGTACAGACGCATAATGGACTGGGGCAACGCTAGCCATGAGCAACAAGCTAGTGGCTTTCCCGAATGAAATTTCGGAGTGGTTATAAATAGATTGCTAAGAATGCTACTCGAGGGGTTGCCGAACGACCATGCCAAGGCGCTTCCGTCAGTTTTTTTTTGCGTAGCCGCTGCTAAAGTTGTTGCCATTTACGTCATGAAACCGTGACTACGAGATTGCAAGTTGTTAATTTGCTGTTCAACAGGATGGGTTGGGGATGAAAGGGGGTTCACGGCAGTGCTCAGATCAAACATGAAAGCTTACCCAAAGGTCAACTTCTCCACGCTACAAGTAGTGGTGTTACCTGGTAACGGCTTTCTGGCTGGAAAATTGGCGAAGAACCACCTATCTTATTTAAAACGGCTGATTCCCGTCTTGCAGGCGTACTAGTTGGTGCGAGTCGTACAATCCGATGTCAGTAACATTGATGGCATCGACTTCTCTTCGGCAAACTCAACATGAAAGCGTCCATGAATTCAAGTTTGCATTCACTTTCCCTGGGATTCCACTTTGCCCTCGACTTTGCAGCAGAGCTTTCTATTAATAACCTGGCATTCAGAACCACCACTTGACAGCTTTCCACTGCGACCTCATGGCTAGCGTTGCCCCAGCCAATTTCACGCCCGTACGTAGCCGTAGTATACTGTTAAAAATGTCGTTGAGAAAATCCCGAAGGGCCAGCTCACGCCCGCTCGCCGCATCTCCGCTGAAAGCGGACGGAACGCTGGCAGCTCAAACACATCCAAGCGTCGGTTGAGCTCCGTCAAGGCGATCAAAACGTGGCGGGTCACGGTGCTGCCAGGGCTGATCATGTTCCTTTGTACGCTGGGGCTTATCTTTCTCTCCATCTTTCTGCTATTCCTTCTCATCTCTCAAGTACGAAAAATGACTTGTCTACATTCTCGCCAAAGTACCCTCGTTGCATGGACTTGCAGGGCATGTTCAAGCGGCAAGTGGTTACTGTGAATGCCCAACTAGCAGACACATACTTTTGGGCTCCTTACGGCCAATCGTGCATCCTCACGTCGGATGGCTTTACCCCCAACTCGTACGACTGCTCGGCACTATCACCCCCTCTCTTCGTCCTCATCGTATTTCTGTAGTTGCGACGCGGACACAGCCAGTGTCATCCCTGACAAGCCGTTCGCGGTCGTCGGCACCGAATTGGCCAAACAGTGGGCCGCCGAACTCACTCAAGGTAGAATTCCGCACCTCTACAAATAAATTTGACCATTGCGCTTTGTATACGTGGCAGCCGGAGGGACGTTGTACGTGACCACGTGTATCCTTGGTGGTACAAGTAACGTCGGGTGGACGGATCTGCAGTTCATCGCTGGGTACTGTAGACGTGATAAGGTGTATGGTTTGGCCTAATGAAGAAGGTATTGGTCGTAGCTACGACTACTTTCCAGAGTGTCTGCCCACGGAGCCGCAAGACGTGGCCGGCATGGCCATGCTCGAGACCACTGTGCGTCCACCTGTTTCTACGTTGGGTCTCAACAGTGTCGACATGTAGATTCGCGACACCCACGTCGACGGTCTCTACTTTCTCACGCTGTACGCAGACCTGGACCCGTCCATGGTAGTTATTCCAGCGACGTGTTCTGGTGTTGTTAACTTGCGATGATTTAGACTGTGTATTCGTATGTGAATTCAGACGGCACGACCCAAAATTTGATTGACAACATCAAGCGGACGTTGATTTCCGTGGACGGACAAGTGGAAACGGACAAGTTAGGTCGCGACTACATCATCACGTCCAGACCTCTCGGTGATCGGTAGGAAATGCACAAGAAGAACGATAGAAATGGTCATACCCAAGCCACCACTATGTCATTAGGTACCTCGTGACAGGGTTCTGCGACACCGTCGTGGAAGAACTGAGCGAGCTGAAGGACGGGTTGGGGCTCACTGGATGGAGCCAAGGTTGAAACTTTCGTTGTTGAGAGTGTCAATCTTCATCGTGGCAGTACAGGAAAGCACTCCAAGTTGCCCGTGGTGCCTGCCTGGAGTTGCGGCCACGTTGTAGAGAATGCAGACGAAGTGATCGTGCTCCAAGCCATGTCGTCGTTTCTGTCGTTGTGGTTCTTTGCTGGCGACATGTTTATCACGATCGAGGGTACAATACATTTGTTCACCAGAGTAATCTGACCGTGGGTTGGTGGCAGGATTGGGAGGACTGCTAAGTGGGGCACCCGTGCTCAAGTACACGGTCCTCTCTGGTCTAGAGCGGCGCAAGGTACCTACCTACCAACATCCCCCTCTAACAGCTTTGTGTTTCCTACAGTGGCTACTGGTAAGCATTGTGGTCAACTCGATGCCGGGGCTGCTATACATGGACGTGTCTCGCATTTACTACTACTCGACCAACGGGTTCAAGGTTTATGTGCTTTCGTCCATCATGGTCGCCAACTTCTTCACGTTTGGATTTTTCATCGCCCTGAGGTAGGCACCACTCTGTGGATACATTTTCTTTCATACCAAGTCGCCGTAGTCTTTTCGACACACTTGTGGGGCTTCTGCGGTCCTTCAGCTCATGTGTGGGGTACTCTGCGCCCATCTTCACAGCCGTGTGCATCGTGTGGATGACCCAAGTGTGGTGCCACGACGCCTTTTTCCTGGACGTGTACAACAAATTCTACTCGGCTCCCGCCTTCCTAGGTAACAACATGCTTTCACCAAATATATCTCATGTATATTATGTGGAGCACAGGCTTTTACGTGAACAATGCCAAATCTATCTAATTTATGTCATGTCGACAACAGGTTTTTACGTGAACAATGCCACGTGGCCAAGCGGGTCGTACGTGGCTGAAGGGACGCCCCCCATCGTAACCTACTTGGTCAAAACCATCGTCACCACCGTCGGCGGCAGTTTCGGGATCGCCATCGCCATCTCGTCCATCTACCGCCGCATCATCCACAAGCAGTACGCTTGATCATCAATCCTCGTCGCTTATGGTCGTGCATTGACGTAGGTGGCTCGTGTCCACGGTGTGGTGTCGGTCCAACTCGGTGCTGTCGGCCCTCCACTTGCCCAACTGCATCACAGCCCTCCCACTGGAGTCTTCCAACGGCATCAAAATGGGCAACAAAATGTATTGCAAACCGAGGTACACAAACCACACATTCGTTTCCAAGGCTGAAGTTGTTGTACTGAATGTCAAGTACCATCGCGATCATGGGGTACACGACCGTCGTCGAGCGTCAGTACGTATGATCCAGAACTTCGAGTGGGTCGTTTCTGTCGACCATAGTGTTTACTCTGTCACATTGTAGAAAGTGGGGCAAGGACAAGCGGCATGCCAACCAATTGCCGAACCAACTCATCAGCATCTACGCGCTCGTGCCGGCGATGGTCGTGCCGTCGTGGGTATCTTCTTTAGGCACCGTGGACCACAACCAGTTCACACCCACCCCCGCCACGCGCCTCGCCCAAGCTAAGCCGGTCGTGCATACCCGCGGTTCGTGTGTCGTCTGATGCTTTTGTCGTCTTTTCAACACTCGTGGGTTAATATATTTGACTGGCCTGGTGTGCCGAAGTAACGTTCGTACGAAAGTCAGAAACGCTTTTGTTACCTGGGTGTGGTCGCATCGACGCAAATACACTTTCAGCAGCATTCAAATGGCTACGTCGTTGGATTCCATCCTTTCATTCGACGCACACATTCGATCAGAGTTGTTCATCATCACATAACCAGTCTGCGAGTTCGTTGGTTCAACCACGCTACCGTCGTACCTTTCGATTCAATGTTGGAGTTGGTTCAACCACGCTACCGTCGTACCTTTCGATTCAATGTTGGAGTGGTACTGTACTGTACTCGGCTGTGACCACTCTGTTTCTAGTCTATGCAAAATTAATATTTCTATGTGATGTTGGAGGAATATAATTTTATGGGAGTTCTTCGTGGCAATCAAACTCAAATTGAAATCATACTAGTACATTTCTAGGGCTTGCGATGGGACGGTCACGGCATAATGGAAAGTGAATGGAGGTGTCAATGTCAGTTTACATGCTCAAGTTTGCATGCTGAAATCTGCAGGAAGTCGCTTCAAGTTTGCTCGTCAGTTATCGCGTCGTAGAGAGGCATTACTTCTGAAAGGATATTTATGTCTAGAGGGAATGAATATCAAATTTTCCAGTGGTACTCCTGGCTGTACCACTCCAACATTGAATCGAAAGGTACGATAGACGGGGCGAGACCATGCTCATTGAGTAAGGTTGTAGTTTGTCGTGCATTTTCCTTCCAGATGTCATGTGCATCAAATACTCTATGTGGAATTTCTCGTCGTTCGAATACAAATCAAGTGTAAGCTTACCCAGTAACAGTAAGAGGGCAATTAAAATGCAGGTTAGTCACTCAAACAGGCGATCGGTGATTTGCCGAAATTTAACCTTGTACTATGGTGCACGTCATCTATAAACAACCAACTTTTCACAAAATTTTCTGACTTCTATTTCATATTCATTACTCAAATTTTCAGCAAATTGAGACGTAGAATCGACAGATCTCAATGTGGTGAAAGAATTCTACATCTCAGATTCAAATTTTGTGATGAATTGGTCCAGAAATAGATATTTAACCTAGAGGTATTTTACATGGGCGCTTGGATATTTGGCCATAGGGGTGGCCGCTCAAATGTATCTTGGTTTTTGTATGTGACTCTTATCCGTATTTAATATCCGGAGGCAGTTGGGACCTTTAACCTCCCACTCCAGTGATAAAACGCATGAAATCGGTATTTAACGTATCTGGGATTTGGGTTTAACTACATTAATTGCACCGTTAAATAATATATCCTTCACTCTTCAATTTGGCCAGTTGGAAGTTTTTAGATGAAGTGCACCATACGTAGTATACGAATTTTATAGCTCGATGAAACAAAATTATTGATTTATAGAGAAATATTACATGTATGCAAAATAATATTTTACTAGGTCATACCTCGAAGTACTTCATATATTCCATGATCAATGATACTACTCTGGTCCGGAATAATTGTTGCACTCGTCTCGTCATTGGCGGAATTTCACTAGTATATTGTCAAGTCACGATCTGATTGGCTTGACGGAAAGCGCAATGTAAGAGCTTTGATTCGCTGTATTTTGAATGCCCAAATTCGGCGGGACTTCAGAAATACTAGTACACATCGGCAAAATGGTGCAAACACAAAAATCAAGAGAACACACACCCGCTGAGAGTTCATTTCTCGAATAATCATCACACAACCACCACTACTACCTCCTCTGGTCCATAATATACCTCAAGGACCTTCACACCCTCGGTCGACCCTTGTGGTCGATGCCTCCACCCGTCGCAACCTCAGCAACGACGAGCGAGTTGCAGCCTACCAGCTACTCCTGGAATAATCCCTTAATGGTGAACGTCCCAGAGGTGCATTTGTGACTACGTCGAAGTCAACTGGATCACCAAATCTCGATTGTCGTCACGTAGACGGCCGTCCAAACTGACGGGGCGCTCTTGCCAACGTTGCCGCGCGATGCAAGAATAAATTCTCTCAAACTCTACGTTTTGTCGAAAAGTATCGAATGTGTTGTTATTAACTTATGAGGGTTTACCATTTTAGGCAATTATGGGTGCGAATAAAGTCCGGTCAGCGAGATTGCCATCAAGGCCGTAACACATGAAGATCGACAAATCCTTCGCTCAACGGCAGCGAAGTCGGGCATCCCCAAGACTAATATTTTGCGTCACATCAAGGAATCTACCGGCCTCAAAGTGCGATGGTCAAGTCCAGCGACTCCTCACGGACGAAATCAAGGCGGCGCGCATTTAGATTTCTATGAGCTTCCTTCGACCCCGGTTACGGAAAGACCACGTCTTTGTCAACATGCACAATTATGTGCACGTTGATGAGAAGTGGTTTTTCATAACCAAGGTCATAAGAAGATTCTACCTCTACGACGACGAAGTGCTAACTGAGCGAGACGCGAAGTCGAAGAAGTTCACCATGAAGGTCATGCTTTTGGCGGCTGATGCCCGCTCTCGGTACGACAAGATTGGCATTTGGCCACTCGTTGTAACAGTGACCGCGCTGCGCACAAGCAAGAATCGTTCGAAAGGCGTCCTCGAGCTGAAGCCCCAGAACGTGACGCTGACGTGTACGAGGACATGATCATAAACGAGGTCGTACCAGCGATTCAAGTCAAGATGCCAAGGGATCTGGCTGTTAGGTTGCAGCAAGACAATGCAAGTCCCCACATGTGTGTGACGACCGAACTGATTGCACGACATGGTGTTGACAGCATCGAAGTCGCCAATCAGCCACCAAATAGCCCGGATTTTAATGTCCTAGATTTAGGATTTTTAATTCTATTTAAAGTCTGCAGCAGCAAAAAGGTCACTAGGTCAATTGGCGAGCTGATAGCTGCTGTAGAAGAGGCATTATTTTATTTTATGAATTGCCAGTTGACATCCTGGGCAAGACGTTCATAACTTTGCAGAAAGTGATGGAGCTGTCGATGGGATCTAGTGGAGGCAACACATACACAATGCCCCAAATGAGTAAGACCGCCAGAATTAAAGGACTAACATTATTAAATGTTGAGTGTAATGCAACCATCTATGCTGGCGCACTTGATTCCTTGAATTGTCAAAATCAAGTATAAGTGATAATATAAACGTTTCCAATAAAAATTTGGTCGGTATTTACATTATGTCGTTTCAAAGTCCAATACAAATCGCAAGACGTTTCTCACCGCGGAGTATAATTTAATCAAGTGAAAACCATGCAATATTCATTCTGGACCAGTGTACTGTCTACTTCCTCTGTTCCAATTTACTAACGCTACACCATTTTACGTTTAAGTTCAGGTTATTTCCCGTATATTTCGTCCGACGCACTACTGATTCACACCATGTACGTTATGTTCGCCGAACATTCGATATATTTCGTCCAGACACTACTTCGTTGCATTATATTTCGACTAATGTCCGGTATATGTCACCCCCCAGGCGGTACATTTCACACGTTGTTCAATATATTTAAAATGATGTTTCATCTACTTCGTATTTCGATTGTTGAAGCAAATCAAGTAACTCGCCGGTGGTGGATACTAGTACTTGTCTAAATCATAGATACTTGAAGTATTGTGCTTTCGCGCTAAATTTGGTATTTTCGGTAGATTCGACGAACGACGTTAAATCCACCTGAAATCGTCGAGCGTCATTTTACTTGAACTAAATATTCTCAATGTGACTTCTGTCCGATTCAACGTTGAACTCTTTGTGAAATGGAGAACCTTGGCAATGCACCGGATTCGCCTGTAATTTGATTGATCGAAAGTTTTTTTTCGAAAATTTCATTGGCTACTTCGTTCCGTCGATTACTGCGTCGATTTATCGAAATAGATGGAACATCATTTGAAATATATTGAACAATATGTGAAATATACCGCCTGGGGGGTGACTGACATATACCGGGCATTAGTCGAAATATACGGCAACCATGTAGGGTCTGGACGAAATATATTGAATGTTTGGCGAACATAACGCACGTGGCGTGAATCAATTGTGCATTTGACGAATATACAGTACCAGAAATATCCTGAACTTAAACGAAGAATGGTGTAGTGCCAAATAGAATTCCTGGTATTTCCACAATGCTCTGGACAAACAAATATCATTGGCTCGTAAGAAGATACATTGATTTTACTGGTTATAAATCGATGGAGGTCGAATCCTTACAAAAGCAATGACACAGGTATTTTACGTTCAATTTTAGAATTAAAGTTATTCAAAAAGCAGATCCGCATATGTTTATTATATAGAGGAACTGAAAAATTAATTGAATATAAAGATTATTTACAAGCTTTACCTAAAATATAAACACGAAAAAGGCATTTGTTATTATAAAAGGAAATCGAAAAATAGGTAAAATTTCAAATTGTTTTAAAGGATAACAAAATACCTATATTCAGTTCAGCATAAGAGTTCAGCATAAGGCATACCTTTACCACATTTAAATAGAATAATTAAAAATTATTTTTTTGAAGTGCTGGGCTTTTATTTATTTTAAACGTTTTTGTTTTTGTAAAAATAATTGATTAATTGTATGCAAAAATTTTGAAATTCAATTTCAAGTAAATAGTAATTTTTTGAAGAAACAATTTTTTAAATTCAAATTTAACAAAGGGCAACTGATGTTCTCCACGAGTGCACCAGCACGTCTTAGAACATCCTTCGTACGGTGAGGCAAAGGGAATTGGTTGTCATCGTTGTGTTACAGGACAAGTCCCATGACTGCGTGAAGGGTAAGTAAGATACACGTTCTCCAGCTTCACGTAACTGAGTTGGTCAAACGCCGAAAGAGTAGACTGGATCACCTCATCCACATTGCGACTCACCGTCTTGTACTGTAGCGAGGCAAAGAAGCCAAAATCCAAGGCATTCAAGTGGGGACTATTGGGAGGCTGCTGCGCAACGAAAAACCATCCATCCATCGAAACGTCCTCAAAGCCGCGGTCAGTGATGGAGCCATGCGGCGTGGTGTTGTCATATAAAAGCACGATACGCTTCGTGTAGTTAGGAAACTTTGCCTTGATCGACGGTACCACCTTGTTGAGACAATGTCACGATACACTTCGGCATTCACATTGACAAGCGTAGTCACAATTGTCACAGCCGGTCGATTTAGCGAGTTCCTTGACGCCGGTGTACGCATCACGATCGGCCACATACCAAGCTTGCCGTTGAAGAGGCACCCCGGGCTTCGTCGTACCGCGGCAGGAAACAGCCGTCAGGAACATCACCTTCGAAATGAAGCGCTTGCTCTTACAAGAGCGACGTGGCATGCCACTCCCTTGATCAGGTGCACCTTTCGGTGATCCTGGAAGGCAATGAATCTTTTTTCGTCTTGATGTACGACGTCCCACGTGTCGCAAAATGCGGTTTCTTGGAGGCTGTTGCCGTCACCGCCGCCAAAGGTCGGCGGTGGAAACTGACGAGCTAGTCGAACGTCTTATCTTCCTTGGTGTCGTAGGCTTCATCTTCATCGTCATCGCGCTGTTCGTCGCCGTTGACGACTTTCCATAGACCCTTGCTGCGCAGCTTTGCTTGAATTCGTACCTTGAAGATGTTGCAGTTGGCTTCATGTGATGTGTCAAGAAAGCCTACCTCTCATGAAGAGAGTGGAAAAATCAGTGGTGCTTTTGACTATGTACGTCGATGACATCACGGTGACCGGCAACCATACCGTCGATATCCAGATGGCCTGTGACTCACTCAAGTTCTAGATGACCGACATTGGTCTACTCAAGTATACATCAAGAACAATGTCGTCACTATGTCCCAACTAGCTTAGGTGGACGCATTTTTGGACAAGTTCAAGATATCGACAGCAACCCCGTGTCGACGCATGAAGTCATCGGTCAAATGCTCAGTCCAAGCAAGCTCAAGGTAGGAGAAATGCACAAGCTCAACCTCTCCTATCACGAACTCGTTGGCATTCTGCAGTATCTAGTGACTTGCACAAGACCCGACATCGCGAATACCGTGCGCAACTTGAGTAAGTACCTGTCATGCTACGTCGAGAGCCACTGGAAGCAAGCCAAGCGGGTGGCGCGATACTTCATGATCGACTGCACCGATCAAGTGGGAGTATTTCAAGTGGAAGCATTCTGCGATGCCGACTTTGGCAATGGAGAAGACCGCAAGTCCAGCAGCGGCTTTGTGGTGATGTTTGTCGGCTGCTGCAATACGGAAGGTCAAGGAAGCAGTCCATCGTGGCGATGTCGATAGCTGAAGCCGAGTACATTGCACTTTCCGACGTGGTGAAGGATTTGATTTGGTACTCCGAACTACAGTATAACCTCCAAACCCTTGCCCAAGTGTCTGCGATAGATTTGCGACCAGGTTTCAGGTAAATAACTAATTATTATCTAATCAATTTTGCACGAGATATGCTTGCTGAATGAAGCAAGGTTCCAGCCGGTCCCACAAATTTTCACATTGAAGTGCTGCTTCAGGGAACACATGAAGCTAGCAAAATGCCGATTCAGACTGATGATGACATGGACAACTATGGTTGTGATTTCAGTTTGAAAAAGAGTAATGCGAGATTTGTAGACTTCGTGGATTCCCAAACACAAGACACATCGAGCTTAAGCACTGTGTACAATACATGTCCTTGATCATTAGGTGGCCGTAAATAAAAAAAACACTTGTTCCAGGTAAAGTGTACTACTACGTAGTACAAATTATTCGAATTCATATCATCTCTTGTTCAGGCGTGTTGCATTATTTGCTGAACCTCAAGGCCAACACTAAACGTTGACTCCTTCGTGCACGTGGTTCTGGTTCGTGTTGGCGACTCGTACTGCTACGTTTGTGACAGTGGCAACATAACTTCGGGGCGTTTGATGGATGAAATCGACACCGGTGGCCTGGGATCCGGTAGTAGCTCTTGAATTGGCCAACCACGCCTTGCGATGGATTTGCTATTAAATATTGCGTTCACATCGAGTACGTGCATACCATTTAAGCCAATAAATTTACATGTCATCCAGGACAGTTATAATGTTGCATCAACGCTTGAACCCATCCTCAAGCGGGCCTGTTTCCAACACGATTGCAGGCATCGTGTCAGTCGCGACGAAACTAAGCGAGCCGCTGTCTAACTGAGTCGTATTACTATGTCGTGACGGAACTGTGACCTGCACATGCAAAGTGAAATCGTGTGTGTATGCTGAAATCTTGCACGATGCCACTGTTGCTACTGGTCAAGCGAGTAATGAAAATTAAATTGAAATCGAGTACGAGGTATTATTCTGCGACATGGAATATAATACTAAAATCTTAAAGCATTTGGTGCAGCGACACTACAAGTGCCCGTAAAGTCCAATGGAACAACGACCGCTTCAAAGCCGTAATCACAATTTTTATCACCATTGAAAGCGACGCCGCGCGAGTGTCATTGCGGACAAGTCCAGTGCACCTGCGGGGCTCGCTGTTCCACTTGCAACCTTACTTACGACCTTGACGACGCTGTACTAACCAACGAAGTCGTAGTATCTTCGTCAAAAAGAGCGTTTAAAGTGGACGCATGGAAATTGACGCGTACTACATGCACATTCGCAGCTCACTAGGACGACAACGAAGAGAGCATTCTCCGCTTTACACAGTTGTCTGCCGTAACGTACGCGGTTTGCTTCGACATATTCAGTCGATTGAGAAAAGGCAAGACGACCTTCGACGCACTGTGGACCACCATGGTTGAGCGATTCAACATGTACTGTACAACGACAAATTCATGGCAAAGAAGACATTTACCAAAGTTATTTGGTCCTTGTTGAATGCCATGGATTACGATTGCAAAGTCGCAACGTCTTGTCGATGCTGTGGACGGCCGCTACAGCAACGGAGATAAGGGTTGATGGGACAACTTGCTCGCCGCAACGAAAGTTCCTCACCCTCAACATGTGCGACAACGTACTGTCGTCAATACCAGCATGGAGCCTCAAAACGGAAGCTACATGAAGGTTCGAGTGTATTTCGACACTAAAGCCGACCAGGATTCTGTCCGCTTGCTTCTCAACTCGTCCGAATCACATCCAGTTGAGCTATCGGTAAATATAACTAAAATTATTACTGATTCAATAATAATCCAAGAATATTTCGAATCATCTTGATTTTGTAGCAACGCGTGAGTAAAGTTGGGGACACCCATGGGGCGATTGGATTTCTCAAGTACCTCTGCAAAGGATGTGGGGATTCCAATTACTACTGTTTCCTTGAACAACTTCAACCCTGCTGCTGTGAAGTTGTTGCACGATTTATCAAAGATGACGTCGGTGGTGTACGGGGGGCTAATCAAGTACCTCAATCAAGTGAAGCTGAGCTTAGTGGGGTGGAGGGAATCAGGTTAGTTTAGCAATCAACGACTTGGTAAAATACGCGGGTTGTAGGGGTGCTTGACTCGAGGGTTCAACGCGTGTAAAGTATTTTGAATCTGATTGGTGCTAAATCAGGAGCCTCTCCGTAAAAAAGCCAATACTTTTACTTTCTCGAAATGCATATTATTATATATTTATATTACGATTTGTATTAACCTAGACAGACCCCTACAATAGTATCTCGAAGTACTACGTACTAGTAGTATATTGTAACGTAAATATAATTCCACTCTTTCGATTGGTACAAATTTCAACAAAAACTAATGCAGGGTCATAAAAATATGATGTGGCAAAGGTCAAACGTGGCAGTAACGTTAATTTTTGGGATGGAGTGGTACTCTGACTGATTATGTGATGGTGAACTCTGACCGAATACAGGGGGCTGCGGATTTTAAGGGACACTTGCTACTTCGAATTTGCCAATTTATCGGAAATGGGTTGAATAACTTCGAACTTCGTCCTGCGATGCCATGCAGTGGCGCGCGCAGCACATGCGAATGGGTCCATGACTTGTGTCGATGTTGGCCTCTTTGCAGGTGTGCGACATCTTGAGCAACTTGATGTCGTATCCGCGTTCTAAGAGCACTTGTTGTAGGCCCTTTGCTTCGCCACGGTGTGGATGGTTGTCATCAAAAACCATACCCTGCGGAGATCCACCGGGCAATCGGCCGGGCCGAAGAAGTGCCTGGGCTCCGCCGGGTCGAAGTCCCATGTTCGAAGCTCGGAGAGCGTCTGAAGTGAACGCGGCATGATTGGTCGACTGGTCGAAGGTAAATAATCCCATTGCCCCAGGATGCATGTCCCCGAAGGCTGAGATGACTTCGTCTTGTACTTGCTTGATCATGTGCTCACATGTCCAATAGCCTTCGTTGTTCTTGCCGACGTGGAGCGTTCTTGTTGTGTAAGTCATGACGTTATTCACCATGTTGAACAAACGACCATGACAGGGACACAAGAAGTCAGACACCATGATCGAGCACCCTCGTCCTTTCTTGTGAAGGTCGTGGTTGTCGATCTGGGGCCAACCTTTGTTGCCATCGTCGTTGGCGTAAAACACCGACTCGTCGTGCGTGATCCATACGATTTCAGGCTCATTGGTCGCTGTAAGCAAATCCACCGTCGCCATGTCTTCGCCAGAGTAGAACTTCATCCGCTCGGCCAAGCTGAGGAACAACTTGCAAAACCTTTCGCGGCACGCCGTGACGTCTTCACGCTCGTGACCATCGGTGTAAACGTTCTTCTTCCAGAGCTCATATCGATATCCAATGTGCTGCATCCAGCGACGCGCCGTGCTCTCGGACAGGTTGGCTTCAAGTGCCCCTGTCAGCAAAGGTATCACTTCCATGTTGAGGTGACGCTGAAAGCGCTGGGGTGACCTTTGGTTTGGAAGCTGAGCGTGCAGCCACTCAGCGCACTTCGCCATGAAGTCTTCATCGTGCATGAGCGACTCGGTCTTTTGATGCTTGCCTCGTAGAAACACTGGCAGCGCACCGCTTGTTTCGAAATGGCGCGCCCAAAATTGAATCGTGCGCGCATGACGATTCAACTTTGCTGGCATACCGCTTGACGCGATCGTGGCAGCTTGACGTCAGCTTGACCCGGTGGTTCGAAGTTCAAAGAACTTCAGAAGGACACAGATCTGTAAAAACGATGCTCCTGCCACCGTCGTTGTTTTGTCGTACAGATCTTCTAACTTCTTCACGCATTCGACTGCTGAGAGTGCTTTGTTGTTTTGAGTGCTTTGCTGACTTGCATCGTGGGCACCGATTGGAGTGAAGAATGTCGGCATCAGCTTCATGGGACACGCTTCCAATGCCTTCCTGTTTTCGAAGCGATTTCGGCGCGCTGTACGATCACTATCGCCGGTATACACCAAAGGGCGCATCTTCTTGGGAGGAGAATGTCCGAACTCGTTGGATTCCCGCCAGTCATCGAAGAACAACAGGGCTTCATCGACTGACTCCTTGGGGAATAGATCGGAGGAAATATTGGCCATGGCTGAGTCTTGAATTGCGTAGACGCCATTTTGTCTTGCTTGTTTTCGAGCGTTGTTTGATCGCTGTGACCGACGTCCCATGGTCTTCGCAGGCCTTTCCCTCAATCGACACTCAAGCACATTGTCCGGATAATATTGAATATTTTGCCGGATAATTTTATATACAAATCTTCAGTCATGTATATCGGCCACCCCTATGGCCAAAATGTCAACTGCCAGCTAATATTTGCAAACTATCAATCTCTATTTCTCAATCAATTCGTATCCAAACTTGATTCTGAGACGTAGGATTTCTTCGCCACGTTGAGAAGTATCGATTCTACGTCTCTATTTACAAGTATTTTGAGAAATGAATATGAAATAGCAGCCAGAAAAATTCGTGTTTATAGATGAAGAGCACCATACCATTCCAGGAATGGAAGGCCCGCGAGAAATTCGAATCTATCCGGATAATAGTTCCGGAAACGGGTGAGTTGGGTGCCTTCATTCAAATGCACGTATTTTTATTCCTTGACATTCAAATGATAAAAATATATATAGCATCATTGCTATGTTAACGTGATCGACCATTGA